AAGATTCAGTATATTTTAATATACTAAATATTTCAGATATTGATGGGCTTTATGAATGAACAAACACACGAAGAATGGATGATCTACTTAGATTATTTGTGTAACGAACTAAAAGTTAAGAAGATAATTAATTTGTTTCATCATATGTTTTATTAGTACTTTCTTCGGACTCTGAAAGTCGATTTGAGGCTTCGCGTTTCCAAGTACCTCGGTGCAGCACCGTTTTTTTTCCGCCCGGTGTACCAATTAACTTCCCTATAGACTGTTCACGGGCGATCGCGTGTATTCGATTCCGCTTCTACGCGCCCCATACAATATGCATCTTCATTCGGGACCAGTTTTTCTGCGTGCGCGCATACGAGAAACGCGCGCATTTAAAAAGCCACCTATCTGGATCTGCGGCCGGCGCGGTGGAGCGCATATCGCAGACGCATGTCGGGGCACAAAAGAATCCTATACATAATCGCGCGGCTCTCCTCGCTCGGGCCGCCGCGTTCTCATGCGGAGATCGTAGGAAGCCGTCCTGTCTGTCGGATCTCCTGCTAGAGGTTCTTCCGGGAAGGTCGATCGCGCAAAGCCGCAGGCGAGTTTCCACGTAATCCGGTGGGGTGACCGAAGGAAGACGAAAGGCCGTTCGCTCGCTCGCACGCTCTCGTTCGGAATTTAATAGCGTTTAAAGACCCCGATATAGGCGAACAGACTCCCGTCCCGTCGTCGCGCGAGATGCGCCTTTTTGCGTCTGCAAAAATCGTTTATTTACGAGACCCCTCTTAAATTGCGCCACTTATCTCGCGAGAGAGCGTTGAATCGTAGTAATGCCTTATTGCGCGTTGGAAATTTAAAAGTTTCACTTAAACGATGACGACGTTATGAGAAACCGCGTGTTTTTGTTGCGGTAGAAAATTACCAGAAAAATTGCTTCCTGCCACGACCATTCTCCTCGAAGGATTATTAATTCTCTATAATTTAAGCAGAATCAGCGACATACAAAATGTACCAGAAGAGAGTTAATCGTATGTTATCATACCACCTTTTTTCTTTTTGTTCGGGTACTGCTTCGAGTATGTTTTTCCGCCCCAGTTGCGACTGTAATTATTACGTGTCAATTGATGAATATGTAATATGCTCGTACTTGCGTGCCGTTCGGATTTTGGACACAAGTGTTCATATACACACATTCGAAAGACGCGTGCGAATAATTAGGCTTTGCGAATTAAGATTCGATAAAACTTTATAATCTAAAATGTAGGACTGAATAATTACAATATATCATAATGAGCGAGACATGATCGTTATGATAACAATAAATAGAAATGTGTCAATATACGGTTGAGCTAAATCTTTTTGTGCTTAATAATAATTTTTTGCATAACTATCTTTTACAGTGGTTTTAAAGATACATATTAGTATTGGTAATATTAAATTATTGTAATTATCAATTTAAATATGATTGTGCTATTCTAGCTTCAGCTTGAGACTGCGTTTTAAGACTGACAGTAATCGGTGCGTAGTTTGCTAAGCGAAAAATGTATATAAATTTACGTAAAAATAGTATATTGCACAACTAGTGGGAAAAGTGGTCGATTCTGAATGAGTGTGAAGACTATTCCCACGAGTTGTTCATACTATTTTTCCTAACAAGAGCGTGAAACAGGATGCTTTTCGCGCTTGTTTTACAATTTCATTTCGCCACTAGTTGAAAAATAGCTCCATTTCTCAGCTAGTGGAGAAATGGATCGTTTTGCTCACTCAAAACAAGCGCGAAAAGCGGCCCATTTCACGCTCGCGTTAGGAAAATATTATTATATAAACACAAAAAGATCTAGACCGTATATTGAACCATTTTCTATTTACTTAAATAAAATATGTAATAAATAAAAATGATGACTAATAAAAAATTATTTTTTAGCAGGTTTTTAAAAATAAACTCAGCAAAGGGCAAAGGATGTTATGTGATTTTTTGTTAGTGAGTCATCTGTACTTTTTAGGTAAGATTTATCTTTTCTTTTGTCTTTCCATAATATATGTCTTAGCTTTTCGGTCTTCTTGCTGTCAGAGTAACACATTCTTGACTTGTCTTTTCGAGTCTTGTTCGTCATTCGAACAGAGGACACCTCACATCCCGTTGAGCAGGAATTCACTGAGGCAAGATTTCAGATAGTTCAGATGACTCTGCAGATTAGGCTTTTAATATTGTTTTATAATAATCTACTTAAGTTAAAAATGTCTTGTTAGTCGAAAGTCTTAGTCTGAAATATTCTATCTTACAGGTTTTGCAGTTTTCCCAATATCCTACACTATGATTCGGATTTGCCTTTCAAAAATATCTCTATAATAATAATAATAATAAAAAATCGAGTAATAAATTATTTTTTAATTCTTGCATAATTGCTGATATTTTCTGGCAAAGAGGGATGAATGATAAGCGTTTTTCTTTTGTATCCAGCGGAGTCTTATTTTTCCCGAAGTCATTCATTGTGAGTATAATAATCTTTGTCGAAGTTAATTCGAGGAACGAATGGCGATTGTCGGAAGCGACGAGTTAGAGGAAAGGTCGCATCTCTCTCGTGGCGTCGAGTGACAAACACGTAACACGCGAAACCTTCTTCAGCACTTCCTCTCAGGTACGTTCCTCGGACTCTCTCACCCCCATTTGTCTCGTTTATCGTCCTTCTAACTCGTCCGCAGCATTCTTTTACGTGTCTACCGCAGTTTGTGCGAGCCATGCCGCCGCACGTTTACACAAGCCAGCGGGAAGTCAAGTGGCTTTTTCAACGGATGGCAATAGAAAGATGTAAGCGAGTCGGTCACTCCAGGCTTCTCGGCCTATTAGCTTCGTATATTCGCGGCATAATGCAAAGGGCGATCGTGCTCGCGGCACGGCATCGAGTTCTGTTGTCAATAACAATTCGCACTTAAATCTTTTTTAAAAGCCAAGTACATATCAAGTAGTTATCGGTTGGAGTGTTTGAGATTTTTTAGGTACTTGTGAGAATTTTAGGTTTTACGTTGAATTCTTCGAATAATTTTTAACTGTTTCTTCATAGCAAGGATGTCGGCTTTAGCTTATACCGAAATTGTATTTTTTGCCCAATTTTATGCCAACTTTTAATAGAAATTTTATTTTAGATTTAAGCCAGATTTATTTATAGATAATCTAATATTAAATGAAACAAATCAAAAGTGAAAAAGACTTTTTGCAGAAAAGTTGCTATCAAATTAATCGAGAAGGAAAGGAAATTGTATACAAAGTTTATAAAAACATTTGTACGCATTTTATGCGTAAAAGTTTCGGATCGCTTTCATAAATTCCAAAGCATTTCTGTCTAAACATCGTCTATCTTTGTACTTACGATCAATTATTGCATCGGTACGTAATCTATTATATTTACGAGAACATTAGATTCATGACGTTAGATTGGATAATAATAAGGAACGGACCGCGCGATTCATCATTTGTCCCATCACTTGGAAAACTGGAAACGCGGCAATACGATGTGTCGGACCCTGACCTTCTCGATGAACTCTCCGCCCTTTTCCCGAAGTGGCGATGACGGCGATGGTAAGATACGAGACAGCCGTCAGGGTTTTTTCTCAATTTCTTCCGGCAAAGCAGCGATAAAATGATATAGTAGTATACAGCCCGTAATTTTCTTTCCACACCTTCGGAGATGTCGCCGATTTATTCCGCATGTTTATCGATTTGCCATATTTTTTTTCCTCCGAGCCTGTAACGTGCCGGGGGCGATCGATTGATCGATCGTTTCGCCTGAGACACGGGAATATTCTGTTGAAAGCAGCATCTTTCTTCATCTACATATGTGTATCTTTTTGCGTTGCTGTGCCAAATAACACGGTGCGAGCTAAATTCGACGTGCGATCGCTTTCTTTGGATTTCCCAAGGAAATTACGAAGGCGATGCGTGTATTAGAGATCGTTCCGGTTGTATTTCTTTCGGAAAATCAACTCTTCGCCGTCAAGAATATCCTAAGAATAGTAAAATATTCTAGAATGACTTTTATTCTTATAACAGATTTTTTAATTATACTTAACTGTGAACTTAATGCGTTCTTAACTAATTTAGGTAATTATTTACCGTAATTACCGTAATTACCGTAAATAATTACCCTGATTTATATTGGACTATCAATAGCTTTCAGGTTTTTAATAGTATTATTTAAATCCAAATTTTTATTTTTACAAAGTCTAATTCAGACTGTATAAGTTATCGAGATTTAATGTTGAATATCGAAAAGCTGTAGTAAATAATAACTTCTCTCAATTCTCGAGATAAAAATTCCATTAAAATATTGAAAAATCCATTATTGAAAAGCTAAAAGCAGGATAAAGTCAGTTCTGGGAAACCTTGCGCTCGATTTGTATTGACAGTATGCCAATATAATTAAACATCACGTCTATGTAAAGGTTTACATCATTGCAACATTGTTGCATTGTTTACGCGTCGATACCCGGCGGTGTATATCCGCCAATGTTATCCGCGAGACGTTTATCCGAAGCCGCAAAGCTGCGGCCACAAATATTTCAATCTGTTACATCAGTGGCCGCAACGGAAAAGTGCTGCCGTCTAAATATTTGCCGAGCACTTCGGCAAAGGTTACTCGGGCCTCGTGATTATTTGTTTCTTCACGCTCGTGGGAAGCCGCGTACGGCGAGCGGAGCACGCATCTGCATGCGGCGCGGCGCGCGAGAGAGGTCTTTTACGTCGCGTATGAATCAGCGCGATGCACGCGTGCCTGACTCGAGTATCGAAAACCATTAAACTTTATTAATTTTTATTCAAACTTATAAACAATAAAAATTGATATTAATCGTCTTTATTAATCTTTAAATGGAAATAGCATTCGCACGGCGTTTATAGCAAAAATTAATAAGAAACACATAATCTATCTTATATGTACATTTTTTAATACAAATATGGGAGATTATAAATTTTAATTCAACGTTCTATTACAGTAGAATCTGCTACAATCATGGTGATATATTTCAGACAGGATTTATTGATTTAATATTCTGGGAATTTATTGATTTCATTACAATCCTCGATAACGGAAGAATCAACAGAAGCGCAGCTGTTCTGCTAGTAACAACGCTAGTAATCGTTCGATAAGTTACGCGTCTCTTTATTGTCGCGGCGGGATATCGAATAGCGTGTGTGCGCGCGCGCGCGCGCGGCTCGGGATGAAAAATTCTTACGATCCTTTCCATTCTACGCGGGGCAAGCACTTTGCATAACATTACACAGAGAACGCTCTCGTAGGAAAATTATCGCGAACAAAGCGCGTGGCTGTTATTGGTCCCGTCAAGTTAAACACATATACCCTCCCGTCTCCGTACATTCTTCCCATTAATTAGCCTCGAAAAAGCGGAATCGTGGCGCCAGCTAGTGAATCACTCAAACTATACGTTACGCTGTTCGACTTCGCCTATTTCAATAATATGCCGCAGGCGGTGGAATAAAATTATCGCCGCAGCGCGCCGCGCGCCGGCGCGTGTATGGACTTACGTAAAACCGCGCCTGTCCGACTTGGCGTATCCATGCATAAATACGCGTGTATTGCACCTGCGTAGCGTATCGATATATATATATATATATATATATATATATATATATATATGCACACGCAACGGCGCCAAGCTACGCCCAGTACGCACGATAATATTCCTCGAGATCTTATTAAGGATGCTGAAACGATCGATCATCTGTCGACGAATCTTGGGAGCTCGCCTGACAGAATTCAGATTCTATTTTTTTTTGCTTTCTTTCTTCCTTTGTCACGTTAAGAAATTTGCGCGACAAAAGAGTTAAGGGAACCTGTCACATTTTTACGATAAGTTTTTTAATTATCTCGATCATAAATTCCGATGAAAAATTTAATTTTACATTCTAAATGACTTGTTCGCTGCTTTTGAAAGAATACGTTCGAAGATTTGCAGAAGATAGATTGTGACGATTTTTAAGAAGAAGCACCAGCTTCCAATTGTTCGTTCTCGACCATGTCGGCTTCTCGGCAGCTGTCGAGGCGTTCAATCGCGTGTACCAGACGTTTCTTCAACTTCGCGAATTCTTTAGCGGACGTCATTTTGCTTAACGTGGACGCGGGCTTCGCGTCCAGGTGACTCGTGCCCTTTCTCGACGTGGACCGTAGAAAAGCGCTCAGGCTGACATCGGCGATCTCTTCCCAGTCCTGAGGAACCGATTGATTGAATGCTTATCGAAGAATGAAGTATAGAAGATAGTAGCAATTTGCGATAATTTACAAACGATGCAGCAACGAGATTTCTCTATGAATGACGGCGCAAATGATCAAGCTAATTCTTTCAGATGGTTAAAATTATATTTTCTATGAAAGGAATATCCTATTATAAAGTGTATATAACAGTCGTTAGAAACCTATGTATCTAGAAGTTAATCAGTTAATTATTAACCAGCTGAATATATATATTAATTAAGTGGATTTTGATTAAATCGAGACCACTACTTCTCTAGTAGTCGGATGTAAATATTTTAGCCACTTGGAGCGAAGAGATCGACCATTGCGCGTCGCGATAGTACTTACGAGCTCGTCGCGCAGCTGCGGCTCGAATCCGATCGCGGCTTCGAGCATCGCGTACTTATCGTCGTTTACATTGAGCCGCAACAGCAGGAGCAGTAACCTCACGACGCACCGCAGACCGTGGCCGGCGCGTTCCCGTTCCTGTAACAGCCCAATTACCGCGTTACATCACGCCGCACTGGACGGGACTGCACGTCGCCAATCTGTCCGGATGATGCGAACCGAGATTTGGGTCAGGAATCGAAACCGGTATAATTTTCACGAGGTCAGACGCGCTTCTCCGTATATAGTTCACTTCCCTTACATATTAATTACACGTTTGTGTTTTCCACTGAAGATTAAGTGCATTGAAACTGCAACGATTTTAATTGATTGTATAGTCGTCCTTAAAATAATCTCCGAAGAAAAATTAATCCCTAGAATGAAAATATGAATTAACTTACATTCATTTACTTCAATATATACTTCCGCAATGTGGGAATGAGTGAAGATTACTCGCGTTCGTTACTTTCGATGAAATAGGTAACAAATCTTTCTAAATTTCTTGGAGTGGGAATACTGCCACTCCAGTGAGATTTCACTCTTTTGGAGTAAGATTTCACTCTTTTTGGAGTGAGATCTCACTCCGTGAAATCTTACTCCAAAAGAGTGAAATCTCACTGGAGTGGCAGTATTCCCACTCCAAGAAATTTAGAGAGATTATTAATTTTAAATTAATTCTCTGATTACTCTCTGCAGCGCAGCGTGTCGGTTGTCACGGATTAGTTCTTGATGGCTTCTTGTAAGAATCCGCATATAGGCATAACAGAGAGAATAGGAAGAAGTTCAGCAATGATTTCGGAGATTATGAAATTGCTTCACAAAATTTCACAAAGCAAATTCGTATTGATTATTTTTTATTCGTCTGTTTCTTTGTGTTTTAAATTCAGTCGTTTAAGCGAAACGATTCTTCTCGCGTCCCGTTGTCTTTCCCTTTATTACCTAACTAAACATGGCTCTTTCGTATATCGCGCGGATCGGCGCTTACATCGAATTCCCTTCCCTAGAGTGCCATAAATCTCGCAAATAATAAGCCACTCGAGCGCGACGAGTGGGATCGAGTAACGATCACGGGCACGGTTGATACGGTTTCGCGAAACCGCCATCGCTGCATCGGTGCGATTGCCATCTCCGCTTCCAGATTGGCGCGCGATAAAACGTGGCGTATCGGCCGCGATCGGCCGGCCAAGTGGCTCTCGCGTGTTTTATATACGGCTGAGATTATGGTCGCCGCTCGCCGTCGCTGTCAGCGTCGGGTGAATAAGCGAGGGCAACTACAGCGGGCAATTACAGCGTGCGCGACTCGCGAGCATTATCCCAGACAAGCAGATTCTGAGACTATAATACGGTTGAGTTGCATGTAGCGCCGGTTCAGAGGGTGCTCGTTGCAGTTTTCTCACGAGGATGCATAAAAATTATAAATTGAAAATCTTTGAATTAATTACGAATAACAGAAATGAGAATTTTTATATCTCAATTTCCATTTAACAAATAATTTAAATTAATTAAAGATCAAATTTCGTACCATTTTTGGCAGCAAGATTTTTTTGCTGTTTTAATATTAAAAATAGTGCTAAGATAGCGCACAACTTTAATTTTTTTAAGGTAACAAATAGAGACTAGGCGCTACTAACTGCATAGGCATAAATGAAATAAATAAAAGTTTGTTTACTTGTGAAATCAGATTTGCGTTGGATTGCGCTTCAGTTCAACACAAGCCTGATTAAAGACTAAGATCGATCTTGCAGCGAACGAGTACGTTGTAAAGAGAAGAGGACCAGTTGTTAGGAGGATGGGACATTGGTCAATTACCGTTCGTGCGATCGCGAGATCATCCAGAAGCGCGAAGATCGCGCGATAGGTCGACTCCAACAGGAACGGCAGTCCAGTCGCGGCCAGAGACCGAGTGTTCCGCTCCCTCACAACGCGCAGCATCCTCCTCTCGATGTTTCTCAACTGGGTCGACAACAGCCCGATCTCACTCTGTACTTGAGCAAAAAAAAACATGCTGAGGAAGAGAGAAACGGGGGTAATTAATCGACGGCAACGGCGATGTTAATGAATCGGACGCCGCCAACGCTATCATCATCGTCGTTGTGCGACTGCGAGAAAAACTGATCTTAAATCTTACGAGGGCGACGAAAGCACGTGCTTGAGAGAGAAAGAGAGAACTAGAGTAGACGTAAGAAAAATAAATTTTGAAAATTCTCATATATCTGTGCGAAATCTTTATGAAGGAATTTTTAGTTTATTAAAGCTCTAATTTTTTTTTAAGATAAAAGGTAAAACTTGAAATTAAAGTCGAAAGATTAAAAAGTGAGGGAATGACAAATATTTAGCATTTGGAAATAGAATTTTGAATTAGAGATGAAATAGTATTAGATATCTTGTCTAAAAGCAAATAAATAAATAATTACATTTAGTGACATAATACATTTATGTATATTAATATAAGCATGAATATTTCTTTAAGCTAGTAGTCGATTACATCAAAATTAGGTGTGGTTAATGTTTCATTTAAACTTTTAAACAAATTACCGCGATTTTGTCCGCCTTTTGTCGACTATGATAGTGCACCTCCATCTGAGACTGGACCAGCTGTATGTGGTTTTGCGCAATGGCGGTCGTAAAATTTCCGGTGGCCTTGTCTTTAAGCCTGTTCACCAGCTGCTGAACCACCAAGGCCATTGAAAGCCCGTCGTTTGACTGCACTCGGTATCGATTGCTGGTTGCGCCGGAAACGATTGTCACCACGCTGCCAGTTTGCACGTGCTGCAAGCCAAGCACGTTCCAATTTTGCCTCTGTATGTCTCCTGTAAACTCTAGAATTAAGAAGAGAATTATCGTTAATTAAATCTTATCGTAAATTAAAATCTTTGCGTGAACTTCTGAACTTCTGGGGAGAAAACAAATAAGAAAATTCAACTCTTCAGTTAAATTTAAACGATCTTTACTTTTCTATTATCTTTATTTAGCGATTTTGATGACCGAAATAATTAACATTTAACTTTATAAATATGCAACAAAAAATATCTTTCGATATTTTTCTTAAAAAAGTTTAGATTTGTTAAAACATTTGTGACAAAAATTACGATTGATAGTTTTGGGGCATTCTCTGTATTTCGTGTCAGACATATATTGAGACACAAGACATTGATATTTTTGATGAGCGCGGTCTCATGGGAGGGAAGGAATTCACTTAACGAGAATTTTACCGACTTTAAATTACGAATCTACCAGGTGTGCGAGGCTTAAAGTCGAAAGGCCGATAAAAGGAAGAAAATGCACCGTGATTGAAGAGGTCCGGGTAAGGTTCCTGAGGCCCCGCGATGCCTGATTATCGTATTAGGTGGGCCGAGATCCCGCGCGTTTAAAACCACGAACGAAAGAGAGTGAGAAAGAGAGAGAGAGAGAGAGACTGGATTCCTTAATATCGCCGTTCGCAAACGAGACATCCTAATTCTCTATCCACAATTTCCTAGCCCGTAATTTCCGACGGGGAACAGCGGGGCAGTGGGAGTAAAAAAGATATCCGTGAGTTTTTAGGGAATCCTTTACGGTGATGGGACCAACAGGGCGGCAACACAAAGCTACGGCCTATAATGTCGCATCTGTAAACAAGCAATTTCTCCACGATTCATAAATCTTATGACATTTATGAAAATTGATTTTTATGTTATACGCTAAACTTTAGATATTGCTTACATTTTTTCTATCGCATTGAAGATATAATGGCGACTATATCAAACGACTTATGTATATATTATTTATAATTTTATTAAGAATGATACGCGTTATTTCCTTTGCGACAAAAAAGAGAAGAATTTACATAACTTTACTACGTCGCGATATTTCTTTAATGATAAATACGGAAACGAAATAAAATCCTGTTTCAATCCTATATTTCAATCTTGATGCAATATGCCATGTCCGTAATATACAATTTTTTAAATTTTGATTAAGTGAATTTTATTAAAGGAACTCTTGCGGAGTTTGCTGTAATTTAATCGTGCGAAACCGCAGAAAAATTTGTCGACGGTAGATTTGAGGGAATAGTTTTATCGCGGTTGCAGCCCTGGTCGCGCGAGTGGCGAGAGGGACGAGGGGCAGTTATAAACGACGGTGCCGATGGATTTACCGGGAAACAGCTGGCTAAAAGCCACGAGGGGCTCGCTGCACTTGATGGTCGCTGTGAAGGTGGACGTGTTCTCGGGTGGGCAGGCCCTCAGCATCATCTTCAGGGGCAGTTGGGCCGTCTTCTGAAGTACGCGCATCAGGCTCCCACGATCTGCCGTCTCGTAGCTCGCCGTGATTCTCACGTCCGACGACATCGCCGGCAGATCCGTCGTCGGGTAGATCATCGTGCGCAGAACGTGCCGGTCACCTTCGCATTCGCACGATTAAGTAATTGGCCAAGTGACATATCAACAAATTAGCCAATATCGATATTCTAACAATTCTGTCATTTCGATTACGAGGAATAAAAAATGATACGCGGAGGGTATGCATTTTTTTGCAACAGTGTCGTCCTATTTCTCATCCGTCGCGTTTTAATTTTGTCCCGGATTGTTCCGGAGCCGCTATTCTCTTGTTCGAGACTTCGCGCCGTAAATATGTAACTTTACGTGACTCGCTTACAAAGATTGGTAATAACGTGGCAATCCTTCTCGGCGACGAACGGCTTGGAGACGTCCACGCACACTTGAACGTCGCGTAGCGTCGTGTACGTGGACAATTCTATGGTGATCCTGCACATTAAATTACGACCCTCCGAGTCGTCCTGGTTTCCGCGTGGACAGGGCTCGAGATCCGCGGACACAGTCACGGATATTATCAGCTCGGCGTCCATGGTAACGTCACTGAGTTGATTGCCTTATAGTTTTAATCGTAAAATAATTAATCTTTGTAAAATTAAACTATGAAATGGATGATTTGCTCTTTGGAGAAATTCTCGATAGCTGATTCGTCGCTTGTGTCGCTAATGAGTGTTAAAAGTATATTGATTCATACCGGAAGCCTTATTTCTCTTCGCCAACTTGCGGAGCTCCGTGAGCTCATCTTCGGCGGCTACGTAATCGTAACCGCGCCGATGCAGAGGAGGCGCGATGAATAACGACGGCTCCGAGCCCAAGTAGCAAACCTCTAGCTGGCCCTCTTCGGAGAGAGCGACGATCGCTCCGTCTAAGTGCTAAAAAAAGAAATATCAAACTCTAAATTACAGTCGCAACGCCGTAAAAGGAAAAATCAGCCCTAAATTGGTCAAAGAAACCGTAGATAAAAAGGAAGCAGAACCGCGGGAAACCAGGAATGGCCTGTAACATCATAGTTATTATCTCGCGGATGCGCAAGAGCAATATGAGAGCTAAATTAAAGACTTGCCCGTAAAAGTGATCTGACCTTTAAAATTAAAAATTAAAGTGGTGTGAGTACGGCCATGTACTTTTGACCGTGGCAATATGCAATATGCATACACCAACTTTCGTTTCTCTCCATTTCAAAGAAGAATGTGTCAGATCGGTTTTTTTTTACGTGTAGGACTTTGGTTCGAACGGTTATAGCGGATTCTTTCTATAGCGGCAAACTGAAAGGCTGTTTCTGCTTTTGTCATTGCGCGAGATAAGATAAAAATAATCATATTCGTCGCTATTTTCATGGCATACTGACGTCCGGCTGATTTAGGCGATTTTCTAAGCGTTTTCTCGTGTGTGGCGGCGCGTATGTATACGCGGAACAACTCCAGTTTGCCGCGACGATAGTTCGCTGATTAACGGAGCGGAGTTCTCGGTATTAAGCTAATTAGCCAGCAATTCGCGCGCTTTGTGTCCTCCGGAAAGACAACAATGGCAACCTTGCTGGCCGCGCGCGCTAGCTGCGGCAGGACGATAAGATAAAACCAGGGTGATAATTGCCGGACTCCTCGTCCTTCCCTGCACTCTCTTGCGGTTTTTTCCTTTCCCGGTCGGTCTTTCATTGCCGACGCCGATGCTAAAAGCCTTGAGAGCGTTTCTTTCGATCGTCATCGCCACGCGAGCTCTTCGCCTTTATCTCCGCTTCTTTTTCTCTTCGGTTCTCTTGCGGTTTCAAAAATTCCTAAACGAACAATCCGTAAGATGGTCAAACACGTTCTCGAGCAATTTGATTATCATTTTACGTTGGCATTTGACGCGGCCTTCACAGACGGCAAATAGAAATCAGCGGAACACGAGCGACATTAATGTTGAATTTACAGCGAAAAATATATTTCCCGATAGATATTTTCAACATTTTTAGCAAAAACTTGCATTTATATTTTTACCAATTTTTCTCGAGATATATTTTTGTTTTTTAATATTTGGGGAATTTTACAGAAAAAGAGTTGTAAAACAATTTGTATAAGATTTGTCGTTGTAAAAGCTCAAGGCCTCTATTCCTCATTCGCTTCTTTAAAATATAGCGTAGAAGTTACACCGAAGAGGCTTCTGGAAGCAAGGACACAATAGATCCGTGCCTGAAATAATGTCGGAGAAACAATGACTGGTGGTGCCGATAGTGCGACACGGAAGAGGATACCCCGATATAGCGAAGGTCTCGGCTCGCTTCTTTGTCAAATGTCATCGGCTCTGATTGCGGGCTATCATGGTGAACATACAGATACGCGCTCCATCGAGGTCTTCTCTCTCTTTTTCTCTTTCTCTCTTTCTCTTTCTCTTCTAAAAAGAATTTTCCCATATTTTCTACGTCATTATTCAATATCGTTGTCTGGATACGACAATCTTTTCGACAAACGATAATTTTTTTCTCCTAGTCTTTTCTTGTCGAAGATTAATAGTTGCCTCGTCGGATGTAACATATCGATCATCGTTATATTGCTGTATCATTTCGATGCTCTTAGTAGAGACAAAATAAAGTACGGTTGAATAGATCATCGTTAATCTAATCGTCGCTACGAATTTAATCAAAGTTCCTTTTTGATAAAAATATACGTATGCATATGTATGTTGCAAGACGATTAATAATGATACAGTTCTTAATAAATTAATAGTGATACTGTTTTTTTTATCTATTGTGAATGTATCGTAATGTATTACATCCTCCAAGAAAAACGTGTGAGAAATTTTTAATGCAACATTAATTAATGTTAATGTTACGTTACAAATTAATGAAACTTTAAGTAACAATTATTCACCCTAATACATAATAACAATAGGAAATTGTTATGACGGAATTTGCTCCTTTGAAAGGTTTACAAGAATCTAAAGAAAATCAATTATTTTTCTTAAACCTTTTTCTTAATTAAATATTTTTATTTTGTACTGTTACTTCTTTAATTCTTTGTGATTAAAATAATTCTTTGTAATATTAAAAATTTGTTAAGGAGAATTAAGAAGCTATTACTATAACTTGACACAAAATTATATTGACAAATATTATGACTTTATTATATGATTAAAAATATAAATAGAAATAAAAACAACAAATTAAATGATCAATAGGAACAAGAAAAATTAAATGATCAATAAAAATTTATAAAAATTTTTTATATTTAGATTTCGTAAAATAATGTGATAAACTTCACGGTATAAAAATTGGACAAAATTTTAATTACATTAATCATATTACATATTTTAACAATATATTATTAAATATTTCAAATCCTTTATGTTAGTCTTACTTTTCGATTTCTTAGACAATTTCTGTGTATGCTTCTTTGAGCATTTTTTTTTAATTCGTTTTTTGATGGGCTACTTAATCGCGTGTGTAGTCGGGTTTTTCAGTTTTTTGTCATTTGTAATGGTAGCTTTAATAAATAATTCTCATCTTTTTTTAATATCTGCTGCCTCATTATCACTTTTCTATAAAATACATTTATTAATTATACATTTTATAGGTAGATGTCAATTTTAAGCGAGATTTTAAGGTAACGATATACATAGTTACTTAAAATTGATTTAAAAAACAGTCATAATAATTTAAACAAGAAATCTGGATTATAAATACATAGAAAATGTTTCTTTATACTAGAATACGATTGGTATGGTAGTCAAATTGATTATAATAATATTGGAGAACGTTATTTTGACAAAATTGTCGAAGTAAAAAGTCCGTTTATAAATATAATGACCAAACCGGCTGCTGGAAGAAGAGAGGGTTTTCGACACTACTTCAGCAATTGGTTTAGCTACGATTTTATCCGGTGAATTCAACGAGCTTATTATAGATGGAAAAAGGTGAGCTCTGTCATATATAAATTTAATACCTTTTTAATAGCTTTCTTTAAAATTTATTAATTCCGCGTAACGGCGCGTTTTATATATGTTTTGTGATCAGAAAGTGCTCACTTTCCCTTGGTTGTATTTAATAAAGTTATGATTTGATATTGTAATATATTATAATATTAGAATAATATTATTGAATAACATATAATTTTTTGTCAATAATTTAATTGTTTAGAAATGTAAAGATGTTCTCTATTCAAGCGTTTGAGGGGCCAGCACGAGGTTCCGACTTGGATTATCCGTCTTGTCTTTAACAGACAAGTGATCCATCTTGCCGAATACAGGTATTACTACCCTAGCGCGCACAAAAAATTATATATGTTATTGTTATTAAATAATATTATTGTAATATTATAATATATTACAATAGCAAATTACAACTTTATTAAATACAAACAGGAAAGTGAGCACTTTCTGATCACAAAACATGTATAAAACTCGTCGTTACGCGGAATTAATAAATTTTAAAGAAAGTTATTGAAAATGTGGACGAGCGTGGCCTCTAGTACACAGCGCACTGGTCTATTGAGCCAAAGGTCTTGGGTTCGATTTCTGGTAGAAATAGAAAAATTATATTCGCTTGTTTTCCTCTCGGAAGGCAATGGCAAACCACAGAGAGTATGTCTTGCCAAGAGAACTTCTCTAAAAAATATAGCCGTTCGGAATCGGCGTCAAACTGCAGGTCCCATATACAATGTGTATACTCCACGTGCGCAACACACATGTAGATGAAGAGACATGTAAAGATGTTCTCTATTCAAGCGTTTGAGGGGCAAAAGACAAGTGATCCATTTTGCCGAATACAGGAATTATCACCCTAGCGCGCTATGTTTTATTATTTATTACCAATATTTTTTATTATTGTGGATATTAATTAGAATAGCTCGCATAAAATTCTTGGTGGTACTTCTTGTCCCACAACTACCATGAGTTCAGGGTTTAAGAGAAAATTCTCTCCGTGTAGAATTGATATATTTAATTTACATATATAATTACATATATTAAAGAATTAAAAATGATATACACAAAAAATGATTTTAATTAGTTTTCCTTCATCAGCGTTTGTCTTAAAAAAAAAAGCTAAAAGTGCGAGTTTCTACATGAGGTACTACTATGTATTTAAAAATTAAGATGCAAAATTAAAAGAAAAATCTATATTTTATTTGTAAATATGTGCTTGTGTCACGTAACTTTGCATATCAATTTTTTTATTTGGGAAGTAAATCATAGATGTTACAAGATTAAATCGATCGTGATGTTCAAGTTTTAAACAGGGAGGGATCTTCCTTTCTCAATGGCGTTTTCTACGATGTAACGCCGTGAAGTGTCGCGCCGAGCAAGAATACGAGTTATAGAATTATGCAATCGGTTACCTGAAAATGCGCTCGAGTTACGGCGACCGGAGTAAAAGGCAGCTGAGCTGACCACTTAAGAGTCGTGCCCTCGTAAATCATCAGGGTGTTCGTGTCAGCGATTACGAGCACCATCAGCTTGCCATCCGGTTCTACAAGCATCGCGCTCAATTAGCACACTTATTTTTTATCCGTTAAAATAGTTAATTAGGCGTGTCGCATCGCACGTCAGCTACTAGCCCGAGAGGTTTTCCCCCCCACTTGTCTGTCTCACCCTTTTGTTTTTTTCTTTTTGAGAAAACAACAAAAGAAATGTTTTGAAGTGCTCAAAATTTAATTTGCCTTTTTGTCTTTTCTCTTCTTCTCTCTCTCTTTCTCCAAAAGCTCTTAAATCCACTGTCAATTACCTATCACGTAAGCATGAAAGCAGAGTGCCTTGTATTCGAGTCTTTTCGCGTATTTCAGAGTGACGCAATTGTCTTTCAGACAGTACAGATTCTTCTCGCCGAGTATGAGAATCCCGACCTCGAAGCTGCTCAAGGTAACGGCGTCGATATCGAGAACGGCTTCCCCGATATTGTAACTCCAGTCCGGTTCTAGTTTCCTCGGTTCCTCCGAGCGATCCTTGCTGCCAAATTCCGCCATGCTTTTATACCTGCGCGAAAAAGACATATAATTCGCGATAATCTTATTTCGTTAATGCTTACTAACGTTAATATATAAATCGCGCGTCGAAGTTTGAAAATATGAAAAAAAATATGTTTCCCAAACTTACAAATTTTCTAGTAGAGATATTTTTTTTCTTTTGGATTATTATTTTTTTAATTCAATTTAATTTAATTTACTTTTACATTATTATCGTTATACAACTTTGCTAGAATGTGCATCGAATCGACAATCTTGAGGATTTTGTACAAATAATTGGAAATGATTTTGAAGAATATGGCAAATTATATTCTTTTTAAATAAATCGAATTCTAAAGAGATCCTCAAATCTTTTGACAATGAAAAGGAATTTTCTCTCATCATTGTTGCGAGTCTAATGACAGTGAACCATATATGTATCTCTTCATTCGTCCTCTCGGCTCATAATCCTGAAAGACGAGGCAGCAATCCGATACATCGCGGCCGCGTTATCTGTACACCGGCAGGTGTTCATTGACGGGCTACTCGGAACGGCACAGTGGAATAACCTGCCTGTAGCATTCGAGGATCCACGCGGAGCTCGGCGTCACGAAGATGTCGTTCCGCGAAACGTAGACGATCGGCTCCGGCAGCAGCCGATTCCCGAGAACCAGGCTGAAGGTGGGAGTCTCTTGCTCGTAGAAGAGAAGCGTGCCGTCTAGGCACTGAACGCAGAGGAAGTCCCGGCCCCGCACGCCGCCGAACGGTCCCGTCGTCAGGGACGCCGGAAATCGCGGCAGCAAATGCTCGTAAGCGATTTCCAAGCCGCAGTGGTCCCCTGCAAGGGTGTAATAACAAATAGCGGTTAAATTAAATTAGTTTAGATAAAAACTTGAGATTGGAAATTTTAATCAGTGTAGACATCAGAGAAATTAGAATTTCTGAGAATTTTGAGTTAATGTGTTTATCTTGTTATTTTAATTTAACCAAGAAGAATTGTTGAATAAATTACCAGATTTTTTGTGTTCGAATTTTAGATTTTAATAACGCGTGATGGACAATGATTATATATTTATTAGATTTACCATCTTCCACTTTATTTATATATAATTTTTTTAACCAATTTGGAACCCCCTATAAAATATCTTCTTAACGAACATTTTGTTATTTATTGGTAACAATCTTTTTATTCTTTATACATATCTTTTTATTCCTTACATATTCTTCGCTTTTGCTTATTGGAATTATTAAATCTATCACAACGCGGCTTCAGAGCCCATCTATCACGCGTTACGCAATATTTATGAATGCATTTGACGGAATGCGTTTCTTTTGAATTTTTTCAATCGCAAGGACGACATTTGTCAGAACTGGTAAAAAAAATTGCCCCATACTTTTGCCAGAGAAGCGGTATTTACTTCGGCATTAAATCAGGCCGATTATGTACTGCCTGTAGACATTACGTTGCACTTAATTGAAGAAATAAATATGCGAGACTGATGTGCGAGCTCAGGCGGCGCTAGACAAGCGGCTCGAGACAGCGAACAATCGCGATTCCTGTCCGTATATAGGTCAGACCGCAATTCATCGTGGTCGCGTTCGAGCGTCCGGAGAGCGATCACTGTTTTGCCGAGCACATATATCACAACGGCAGTGTTATAATGAGTGTCCCAGAAAAAGGTGAGCGCAAAGTACAAACAAACACGCTCTCTTTATTCAGATGAATGAAAAGGACGAGGACAAAAATTTTAAATACTAAGAATAGAAAATGATATGTAAGTAATAAAGAATAATTATATTTTTATCACATTAAAATTAGAGAGAGAGAGAGAGAGAGAGAGAGAAAGAGAGAGAGAGAGAGAGAGAGAGAGAGACCGAGTGAGAAGCATGCAGAAAAGAGCTAAAGAAAGAAAACTAAATTTTTTAATTTGAAAATAATGTGAGAGGAGGAAAAACGAAAAAAGAAATTAAAAGTATTAAAAATTTAATGAAGCAAATAAAATTTTACTTTTAACAAAATGGATAAAATGTACAATTATCTTTGTTCGCAAATTTTCAATATATAAAATGCCTTAACTTGAAGTTTAAGAACATGATTTCTGGTTTTATCACGGAAAATACTTATTAAAGAAAATTAATCATCTTTGCTGTGAGAGAAGGATAATATGAAAATTGGTGGCGCCTGCTTGGCGTCGGGAAATATGTAGACGCAACGATCGCGCGAAAGAGGAGTGAATCAGACAGTCGCAACTTGTGCATGTGAGAATAACTCGCGTGCAATTTGCGTTTTCCCGTGTGTGCGAGCACGCGATCGGAACGGAAATCGGCTGTGGACGGTTTTTCATCGAGGTAGATAATCGTTCTCACTTTCCGTTCCGCGTCCGCCCCGCGGGAGGAATCGCGCGCTCGAAAAAAGTGTATACGCGCTTGACGACGTAACGCGTTCGACGTCGTAACGGCGCTTGCGAATTATTACGAAACACTCGGTTGTTATTGCCGCGTCTAATATCGGCTGGATTTAACGAGATACTAGCTCGAGGCGCCTCTCTCGATCCCGGATCGTGCCGCGAAAGCAGTCTTTAACATTGGAACGGCCGAGCCGGTGGTCATTTTGAGCCGGCGAGCACTTTTTTATCAGCCGCAAAGGCTATCTTTAAGCGGCGAACAAACTTAATTTTATTCCGATTTGATATATTTAATGGAATTTACAATGAGAATTGTAAAGGAAGAAGGGAGATTTTTTATGGATTGAATATCAAGTGCATAAGGTACAGGTGAGGAATTTTTCTCGTGACAGAAGTATACAGAATAAAGTATGCAATTTAATAATTTTTTTTATAAGCTGACGAAGATTATTTTAGATTGTAACATTATTATATGTAACATGTTATTACAATAGTATCACATATTAGATGAGGATTGTGTAAGTTTCTGATAATGAAGACTATATTTCCAATCCATATATGTTTCCCCGCGGCGATTATGTAGTTTTCCGCATTATATAGTGTAGAATTGCGCAGAATGTAGATCATTAATATTAAGTAAGTAATGGATAAGTATTCTACATATGGCGTTCTAGGGTCTTAAAATTGTCTGATCCGATTTCTCCTTGATCTTTCAAAGACGTTTTAATTTCAAATCGCACAAATGCACGAGGAAAACGTGCACCATTCGAGGCGGTTGCGGGAAATTGGAAAAAAAAAGTCTCCTGACGTTACGTAAATTGACGTAGACGGGGGAAATATCGAAAAGGAAAGACGCGTTGCGATGTCGTGCGTCGTGCGTACTTGAGTTTTTGATCGTTCGCAATTGTAATGAGCGAGACTGCGCGACGCGTTTCTATACTTTGATACGCGATATCGCACGATTGACCGATCGGCATAAACACACATTGGTCCATATCTGTGCTGTGCATTCGTTGCTAAATACCAATTTGAATCTGAGAGTTATTCATCTCATATACAAAAAAATATCTGAACTCTGAGAAAGTCTGATAAACGAATGCTTGGAGAGGACAATTTTTTTAGTATTAGATGTGATACTTGAATGTTTTGGATTAAATGTGACATCACAGATGTCTGACACTTATTTCACGATGGCTTATTGCGGAACGATTTTCATGCGATGTCGACGCCAGGTCGTGTACAAGTCATGTAAAGACGATATCGTATATAACATGCTCTTGCGCGGCGAATCGTGTCAGAATTGAAGTGTCTGCCATCGAAATTTAAATCCTCAATCAAAATCCTACTATCGTCTATGAAAAAAAAAAACTCAAGATTAATTTTTGCGTTAGACTGCGAATAATGCGTTTTTGCGTGCTTCTGTAATTTTTAATTGCCGTTTTATTGTAACTATGTGTACTACATTGAAGATGGTCCGAATATAAACCGAAACGTTTGTGAAATTTAAGGTAGTTGTATCGCGACAGTATTAGTAAAAAATAATGGTCACACTGCAATACGATAATGTATGAAAACTTTACTTATCTGTGTAAAACTTTTGACTGAGCTTATACTGTTTTTACTGTTTTCACTCGCGTTAGTAATGTCAGTATACCAGTATGCTATCGAGGTTATTTTGAATAAATAAAAGAAATAGAAGCGAAAATGTCTGTTGTTACAAAGGAAGATTAATGAAAAAAAAAGTATTAAAGAAAAGACTTAAAGCTTTAGCGGCAATGTCTGAACTACATATATATCTAATCTTTATATGCGCAGTGTTGCAAGATCTTTGCAGTCTTTGCTGTCATATGCGTCCATCGCTATGAGAAATTGTGTACTTTGTGTAACAATTGCTTTAAAACTAAATAGATAAGGGTCTTGTACTTTTGTAAGAATATTTTTACAAGTCTCTTTTGTCATCTCTTTGTTTTTCATTAAAATCCTATGAGTAGTTTGATCGTTACAATTACAAACGTGATATAGGAAGCCGTTTTCGTCCTACGATGCATGTAAAAAGTGCTAAGTTTGATTTCCATTATTTCAACTTTGGTATAGTCAAGCTTTTTCTACTTGCACGTGTGTGTAGAGCGTGTTTACATTAATATGCTGTTCAAATTTTAAAAGATTCCTATGAAAATGGGTTTTGTGATACAACTACCTTAATTTGTATTAAATACAATGACACGAATATCTATAGTCTCTTTCTCTAATCCTTTTTATTTTTATTAATTTTCCATCTGTCGGGTTAGATTATAGCTTTATCAGGATATCGTAACAACCGATATACAACTCGTAATAATTTAATGAACGTTCGTTCGTTGAAATGTCATATTACATTTTTATTAATCTTTGCATACAATGATCGACAGCTTCGTAATTTTCTTGGTATATAATTCTATAAATTTCGACGGCGGCCACTTCGATTCTGACACGATTCGCCGCGTAAGTGCGTGTTACACGTTCTCATCATGCAAAAGAACGATACGATATCAGCTTTACACGACTTGTACACGAGCTGCCGTCGATATCGCATGAAAATCGTTCCGTAATAAGCCATCGCGAGATATCGACGACGCGGCGCGCGCGTCTCCATCTCTCATCGCCGAGGATCTTTCCGCGCGGGAATAATTTAGCGTGCTCGTGGTGCTCGTTAGCGGCGCACTGCTCGCGGTCATTTTATCTATTCGCGGCCGAGACCGGCTCTCGGAAGACGGGTCTATGGGATTGCCGTCTTCAGGCCTTGAGGGCTTCTTCAAGAATGAAAAATAATTACACGTTCTTTCACTACCCAAATATATAAATTACACATCAAACTTAAGAATTATAATAACAACGATAATAATACAATGATAATGAGGACAACAAAAATGATAGTGTCTGTAATAATGACAGCGGTATTAGTAGTCGTAACATACGTTTGTTTTACCCAATAACAAGAGATATTAATAAGGTGATTACGAGGTATGCAACGAAATGAAAATGTATGCAATGCTCGACATATCTGCAGACTTGTTTGCTGAGATTGCAAAATCTAATTAGCGGACCATTCTTAAGTCAGGTTTCTCGCGAGAATTCCAATCGGACTTGCGCACGCGGACCCTCACGATCGCTCGATCTTATTAGCCGTTATGGCCGCGCTGCCCATCTCTCCCAAAGGCTCTGTTCCATCGCGCGATTAATGTTATTGTCACGACACTAAAATTAATATTCCGATAACACGCGGCGCATTGTGATTCTGGAGTCCAATTAAAAAAATAGAAAAATCGCCACGGCGATTTCCTGCAGTGATACCGCTTGGTTTCTACTTTCGTTAAATATAATATGTAACGTGCGTATTTGTGTCTTCAAGTTAAAGCCGATAGAAGAACGGTTTGTTTATTAAGCGTTTTAAAACGTAGAGTTTATTAATATCAACGAAAGGAAAATACTTATAAAATTAAATAAAGAAATTGAAGAACAAAAAAGTTAGAAAAGTTATAAAAATACAAATGAGTTCAGGTACATTCTAATTTGTTATTTTACAGTTTAGTATAATATATTGTGGTACAAACCATGCTCAACGGAGCCCTGGCTCAAAATTATGCTGTAAATGACGAGTTTCTTTGATGTCAGTATCGCGAGTCGAGTATCTTGCGAGCCTCTGAAACAGATCATTGCTGATGTGATCGATATTGATAGAGATATATAACGTATTTAAGTAAGCGATGTTGCAAAGTAAATTTATTTAATTAAAGATGAATTTAGAAAGATAATTTTATTAATGACTTAAAATTTTTAATAACACTCCGCGAGGCATTAATAAGATGGAGATTTATTCATGTTTATTTTTCACGTCTACATTTTATTTAATTTATCTGATTTTATTCACAATTATATATAAATAGCGTAGTCACTTATCATTTAAAAATATGTATATATTAAATTAGTAATTTTAGAATGCACATAAGACGAATCTTTGCAGAGTTCTGCGACAATTTATACTTCGTTATTCCCTTTCTTCGTTGTATTTTTCTTATTGACAATCAGTTTTTATTTCATTTTCGAGATAATTTCTGCAGTTTAAGCTAAAATTGATTTTCTTCCATCATAATTGGTTTTAACGCGTTGAAATTATTTTCCTGTTATTCCGTCTTTCGCAAATCTTCATTACGAGGCCACGCGTTCCAGAGTTAAAAACGTGCAATATTCTTCGCAACGTCAATTAATCCTTTCACTTCGCAAACATCGCGGTCTCACTTACGAGACGAATTTTCCCGCCTTCGTGTCGACGATACAGTCGCCGATTTGCGCCTCGACGACCAGGTCTGAGGACTTGTAGCCGCTCGGCGACTTGGTCTCGTCTATCCACTGCGAGGACGGGCTATATATCCGGAGGTAGCCGCTGTGGCTGCCGACGACGACGACGTCCTTCCGGTCGGCACCGAAAAACGGCGTGACCAGCAAGCTCTGTCTGTCGAAAGACTCGTTCACTCCGCACTGCGTTCTCCACCATTCTTTTGTCTTGAACAGCGACATTTCCGGAACGCTTCAAGAATTCGGCGGCATTGCGACGCGGGCAAGGGTAAATTGCAACTGACGCCGGCGGCCGGGGGTTTACACGCCGGTGGTTGCTATGACATCGTGCGGCCACAACACAGTAGCCTTCTCGAAGCTAAGGCTAATTAAAGATGCATAACGAAATCGCGGTGTAACGCCGCATTATCGCATTAAGTATCGCGAACATCAAAGAAATATTTGCGTATTACACGTTGCATCAGTGAATAACTGTAGAGATTCTTGTAGGTATTAAAATTATAAAGAATTATAATTGCTTAAAAATATTCAATTCTCATAAATTCCGTTCTACAAAATTTTTTTGGCTTATCACTTTTAATATCTTCAATATTCCTGACATTTTGAAGATTTATATAAAAATATTCAAATTCAGTGGCCTGCTAAATTGTTTTGACTTAAAAATTTTAATATTTTCAAAATCTTTAACGTTTTAAAGAATTATAACTGCTTAAAAATATTCAACTTGTGCAATTTCAGTGGCTTGCTTTAATAGAGTCAAAATCTGTGACATTTTAAAGAATTATATATAACTGCTTAAATATTCAATTTCCGCAAATTCAGTGACCCTCTAAATTTGCTTGGAATTTTTAAGAGCTTTAAAATCTTAGAATTAAAAAAATGTAATTGCTTAAGAATAGTTAATGCTTGCAATGCAAAATGATTTGCTACCTACATTTGGGATTTATAATAGCTTTAAATATAAGAAATTTAATTGGTCTTTTTTGTCATAAATGTGTTAAATGTAATAATATAATATAATATAATTTATATAATAATTACGTAATAATTATTTAATAATTTACATTATATATAATTTAGTTTGATAGGTTAACATTTGTTAGTCAAACACGTTACTATAAAGACTCACTTTTGAACGGGAAAAGTTTTTATGAAAATATATGTTCAAAACACAAAGTCCATCTTTGTAGTTTTTATTACACAAGACAAAACATATATACAATAATGTATTATTTGATTGAAAGTGTCGTAACATGTGAAAATTATTGTTTCGCGATTATTATGTTTGTTACGTTTATCAGTATATTGTATACAGGCTGTAAACTGTAGCTTCACATATTCGCGTATAATTGCATTTTCTTCATCGCGTAAATTGGTATGATATCTTGTTAGCAGATGTCACTACGGTATATATATTCGATTTTCAAATGACAACAGTCGGAATAATAGGTTTCCATCTGCTCTTTGGGGATTCAGAAATATTAACATGAATGTTTATACTGGAGTTATTTGTATATAGTGTTTCAAATACACGACGCAATTGAAATAAAACTATTGAAGAATGTAGACGTAGGGATTTGTTACGCAAAGCAGAATAAGCAAAAAGGTAGCGCGTAATTAAACTTAAAATATATTAATAAAACATTTTGTATTTTGTAATTTTCTTAAACGTAATTACATTGTGTTTTAAATATGTCATTATAGTTTTTTATCACAAATAAACATATGCTCTTTGATTAGGATTTTTTCTTATAAAAAATTATGCATATACGATATACAATTCTTATGTTTATTTAGAAAAGAATTCCATAATATGTACTATATATAGTATATGTAATAATCTTTATTAAAAGTTAGATGATTACAAATGCAAAATTATCTTTATTAATCGACTTCGGCATATCGCATTGCGAGACGGGAGTTTTCTTCGAAGTTAAGATAGGACAGACAGACGATACGTTGCACGCGTTAAAAGAACTTTACGAGACTAACTTTCTTTCCAACAAGTAGAATTACGTACATACATGCCTCTTACTATCAATTTCTACTACTAATTATCATACGCTATTAACGTGTGTGCTAAATTAATATTGACTATAGACTTTCCTTCGTTAAGATCGCGGAAAAAATACGCAGAGTGATCAAGCTAATTTGATTGACGCATCAGCAGGAATTTAGAAAGTTTTAGTTCTTTTTAATTCCGCTGAGTGAATTTTCGCAATAGTCTAGTCATGTATTTGGCGGTCCCAAGATCCGTTTCTTCTGCCACAGTTGGTACTGTTTCTTCTAGCATATTCGTACTTTGCCTGTAAAAGGAAATGATAGGATATTAATGACGCGTCGCGTGTATAGAAGAGAGTTTTTCTTAAATATTACCTTTTGTGCCACAACAACTCAAGTGCAAACACGATTACGCTAAGTAGCGTTCCGTAGCCCATTACGACTATCGCGAAGTAGCATTCCGTGAAACCGATGTTGATGAAGCTAGTCTGACTCGAGCACGTTGGCTTTCTTGTGTACAAACGATACTCGTCGCGATACATGAGTCCATATTCTCGCAGTTTCAAAGCTCTGAAAATATTTTTTTCGAGTACTATTATACATATGCCGCATTTATTTTAATATTTTATATTATACATGCAATTTTCTTCAAACGTAAGTTTTAAATAAAATTACTCTCGAAGGCAATTGCAAAGTTATTAATATTAAAAAATCATAAATGTCACGTATGAGAACATCAATGCAAGTGCTTTTTGTAGATAATGTTTATTTTCTAGAAAATATGTTCCTTGTGTAGGTATATATGGAGGGGTTAAAGCCATAGTGGTGTAAGTCAATTTTTTTTACCACTTTTTTCTTCTTTTTTCAACATATCTGCATGTGTAGACTGCATCTATGAACTTAACTCGATAGGTTAAAAAAAGTGATTTACACCACTATGGCTTTAACCCCTCCATATACATATATTTTATTCTTAATAATTTCGTAAACGAAGTCTTTCTTTTCAACGAAAAGCGTAATTTTATGAATGTAACGTCTTAAATTGTCAACTTTTGAACGTCATATTCTCGATTATATGGCCTTGAGGTTGTACATAGGGGAACTGTGCCTATTTTTAAAAACCAAAATCTTGACTGAAAATTATAAGAATATAACTAAACCGCATCATTTTATTCTATGATTATCGTAATATGATCTCCATGGCATGAATGTGTTCAAAATTTACTTTAACTATCTTTTCTAAAGGAAAACAAAAAAGTAGCATTTGACGACATAAAAAAAAGAGTTTCTAATATCGCGCTCTTACATATTTTTAATAAAAATAAACAACTCAAAATAAGGCACATAAAGTTGGTAAAAATATGTTCTTTTGACGATTAAGAAAGCTTATGGGGTTCCACGAGCTATAAGGTGGGATGATGTGGTCTGGTCAGCATCCCGCCTGGATTTACTCTCGCAAAAAGATTTTGTTACTCATTGGACAGGAGGCTGAGGGAGCGTCAGAGGTATTCTAGAGGCAAACCAGTTAAGAAAAATGGGCGGTATAATGAAAATTCCTGGAGGGAGGAATTAGGAACATTACAAGGAAGAAACGTAACCGATTAAAGCATCACAATAATGGTTAGCAACGATATCTCTAATTTAGGAATAAAATTAGACACAATATTACATGCTTTCATGACAGTCATTCGTTCTTAGTACATATTTTTTTTGCTGTATTAATAACGAAAGATATACCTCCTGCGAAATTTCGAAACCGTTAAAACTATGAACTGTCATGCCACTTTTTATATCATAATTCTAATTGAAATAAAACAAAAGATCGTCCAAAACGGTGTTGTTTCAACAGCTTTCACTGCTCACTGACAGAATGCAACACAACACGTAATAGTCTCAATATCATAAGGTGCGGAATTAGGAACGAGGGCGATATTAGGCATAGTTCCCTTACTTGATACGAGGCACTACGCGTTTTCTGACAAAAGATTTTCACGTTAAACTTTAATTTGCTTAAATTCATATTTGAGGATGCGACAAGTTGATAACTTACCCATTTTTTATTATTTCCGAATAAGGCGATTGCTTTGCTATTGAAAGAAGCGGGTTTATTGCGATCACATAATCGATCTCAGTTAGACCACACTTCTTCTCTTCCTGATACGTGCTCTGTATAAGGCTGTATATCAAGTTTCGTGAACCATGAAACGCGAAAGACTCGCTTCCTATGCGGCGTACCCCTTCCTCCAGGCTCATCCAGTTCGATTTGCTTTCGATTTTCTGCAGAATCGCCTTTCTGACAGAACCTTGAAAATTCTATATTGCAACAGAAAGAAAATTATTTCTATCTATAATCTTTTGTCATTTAATTCTTTGTTTCAAGATTAATAAACTTTTATTTATTAACTTTTATCTACCTTCATAAGATATCGGTTGTATGATACGTTCTGTCCTCCGAGAATTAACGGACTGTATAGGAGATCGGAAAGGGTTTTGATTGAGTCCGTGGTAGACTGCAAAAGAGCCACAATATTTGCCGTGTAAGCCGCATAAAGGCTCAGTGAGGTCAGCAATAACATAAGAGTGACGATGCGAGATGAGATTCTGTATGGCTCATACGAATACCCTACGAATATACCAGAAGCAATAAAATTCTCTCTATTTTGGGCTCATACATTCTGGAGATATACCTATTTTTCTTCTAAAATAATTCTCTTGCTGTAAATTTAAATATTTCTTTTGTCTGAATTTCTTTTTTTGTCCATATTTGCCACATAATCATGTAATTATCAATGAGAAAGAAGGTGGAAAACAGAAAGTACAAAAGTTTGATTTTGCGTATCGAAATAAGAGTGGACAGTGAGAAAAAATTCCAGAATAGAAGAGTAACTCGATTTCGACGATTCCAAAGTAGAAAACTTTTACTGTATTTTATGAGTTTACTTTTTGATATATTTTTATTTACAAGGTGAAAATTGCAAAGCTCTAGGTTAGTAAATTGTACCTTGTTGCGCAAATGCGCCTAAAAGGAGGAGAAGACCATCGACAGCCGTTGGTTCGCTGACTTTTATTTGATTCCAGTAAGCTGCCGATCTTTTCGAAGTGCCTCGATAATGTTCCCATTTCATAGATATGTATAACAAGCAGAAGACGAGAACAAGAAATATAGCAGTCGCAATCCAGACATTTCGTTGAAAGGGCAAGGTGAAGATATTTTTCACGGTCGACAGTAGCGGCCGTCGAAATACGAAACACACACTATTTAAAATTTTATGTATTATGACAAAAATTAGTAATAAATCTCTCTGACACAATATAGTAATAAGAAATATAAATGTGATAGAAAGGATAGAAGTTATAGATTTAAGAATAAATGGAGGTACAATGGGAATGATATTAAACAATATGATGTTATTAATAAAATACATATTAATTTTGTATATAAAATCTAATGTTATAGACATCAAATAGCGTAATTAAGACTGTATACAGTAGCATATATGCTAATTAAATATCTGTATTTTAGAGGTGAAGGATTAATTATCTCTATTATTATCAATTCAGAGAAGACAATTTATTAAGATTATTTATTAATAATATCTTACGTTGCCGATAATACCATCAGTTAACTTAAATTTCTGTGCGCTCGTTGCAAGATATTTTTTTTATATCTACATTTGCTTAATAAAAAAATTGATTATTTATATGGCTATATATTTATATGGCTATTATGATTCCGTCATTATTGTTATCCACGTACGCAAATGTGTTTAAACAAAACATTATTTTTAAATTATAAAAGTTTAAAAATATTTACTGTATAAATTATAAAATAAATTTTTTTAAATTGTTAACGAACATTTTATTTAAAACAAAGATTGGAACGGGATTATTGTGCGAAAACACAGTCTTAAAAATGTCTTTTACATTCTTACTCGATAACTTTCGTTTTTTGCGTATGTCTGTAAAGAATTACCGAGACTGCTGTCATTGAAAATAAATAAAGTTATTCATATTTTGATGAACAATTTTATGGAAAGGGAGAAAGTATGGATGAGAACACAGTAACGGAAGAATTATATAAGAGATAAATTTGATGTCAAGGGGATTTCAATATTTTCAATTTTAGAAAAGATTTTTTTTATTTATTCATGATAATGCATGCATGTTGCGTATCGTAAAACGTAAAAGTAACTGAAGATTTGACTGACTGGATTTTATATGCAATTTTACCTAGAGCGTATGTACAGTTGAATGAATTGCACTATAGTCAAGCGATCGGGCAGCATAAACGCAGTGAAGCCAATATCGATCTCGCGTCGTTGTAGCATCCCGATCATCCCGTCCCAAGTTCCATTGTTGTTGTGTCCAAAGTGGTTTACAACATTGAACTTTACCCTACCGTATAAGAACATCAAATTGCAATATACACTGATTTCCAAGATTCATGTCTCGTTACTTTACATAAAGAATTACTTTACTTTATTTACTTTACATAAAGAATTATTCGATTTTCACGACGTAAATTATTTCATGTATCGGTCAAAAGTGTAGAAACGTTTTTAAAGAAGATAGTCGAACAATTGTGACGGTATTTTTTCGCGTTCGAGTTCGATAAGGTCGCATATCGTACGCTTTATTTTTGTTAATGAGACGCATGGCACATATGCTTATATAATTAAGTAATCAGCTTCATTTATACATCTAATTATGAAAACTGATTTTTGTCATCTATAGGTATAATTGTCTGATCACTAAGTTCGTTTAATAAATGATTTTATATTTTGTTTTACAGCTTTATCCTTTTAAGATTTGCATTTATGCGACCGTTTACACATCCTTTTTACGTCGATGTAGTAACCTAATGTAGTAATCCTAAGCCTCTTCATCAAACGACTTTGAGTTACTATCATACATCGATGTTATAACTTCGTCGTAAAAGAGTGTTTACACTGCAGCATCTAACGTCAGTAGTTATAACATCGATGTTATAACTTTTGGTGTAAATCGGTCCGTGTAAACATAGTCTATGATTGTTAGATTTGCAATTAACAAACTCGGTTTTATTGTCGTTAAAGTTACTTCATAAAGATCTTAACGATATTGATATGTTTTACCGTCAGGAGAGTAAAGGCCGGTTTTCACACGCAATGATTGGTGGCGCCAGGCCGCGCCAGTCGACTAACGCCAGTAAAAATGCAAGTGTAAACACTTGATACAAACTGGCGCTAGTAATGTGGCGTTTACTGGCGGTTATTGGCCAAAGCATATAACCTCAAATTTGGAGGTTATATGCTTGCTGTCATTTACTGTGTGTTTAATAAATGTTAAATATTTTCCATAGTATACGCCAATCACTGTGTAAATACTTGTGAGTTTGCTAGTCGGTTCTGCGCCAATGAATGCCAGTCAGTTGGCGCCACTAATCATTGCGTGTGAAAACCGGCCTTAAGACTCACGTTGCGTTCATGCGGTTCACTAAATGGTGTACCCAGACATAATTAATCTTCGCCATAGGATCTACTAATTTATACATAAAATCAGTCAAGTGATTGATCGTGTCAGGATTTGTTATCTGCAAAGATGAAAAAAATGTACCTCTGCGCAGAGTTTCAAATATCTAAAGCCTGAGAGTAGGTATACTATGGGCATTCTAAATCACTTGTGGAGGGGGAAGACGGCGTGGTGGAGTTTATACTTTGAACTTTAAACCTTAATATCGTCTAAATGGTTATATTTATGAAAAAATTATCAGAGACCTTTTTTGTAGATTGTTAAATTTTCTACAAAAATATATATTGATTATTTCATAATTTTTGATAGTCGATATGATACAAAATTTATAAGAAGCAAAAACAAGTTTTATAAAATTTATCAAACTTTAACTTTGAATATCTTTTGAACGGTTGAATTTATGAAAAAATGATAAGAGATTTTTTTTGTAGAGCGGTAAATTTACTACAGAAAATCTATATGTAGCGCAATGCTGTATTACTGTTTGTTAGATAGTTATAAAATTTTTTCTATCTTACTAAATGAAAAATAAAAAATCGCGATGAGCAACCTGTTAATATTAATATTAAGGGCTAAAATTTTAACAGGTATCTTATTTTACCTTCCTTCAAGTATATATGCTATTCGTGAAATAAAAAAAAAAGTTGCTCCAAAATGACACACCCTAATGTACATGTATTAAATACCTACTTGTAAAGAGAATATATCTTTGATTATGTATCACTGATACACTTAAAAAAAAATTGTTAATCCGAAAAAATATTTAGTCCGATACGTTCAACTACTATACATGTTAGTTAGTTGTTAGTTAGTTAGTTAGTTAGTTAGTTAGTTAGTTTATTAGTTAACTGAATATTGGTTGTTTCAACAATTTATTAATCCTTTCAATACGGAGAGTGACTACAGTTACTGTCCATTATACATTATACTGCTCGCTGCGGCCGAACAGTAACTATAGTCACTGTCCACATGCTAACTGCTGCGACCGAGCAGTAACTATAGTCACTGTCCACATGGCAACTGCGTCCGAGCAACTTGAAATGTTACTTGAAATGTTTCTGTTAATAAACTTTTTAAATTGTTTTTGTTATTGAGTTTTATTTTATATAATAATTGAAGGCGTTGAACGTTCAGTACCTAGCTCTCTCGGCCGAATCGCGTATATCGGCAGATCGACGTTTCGGCCACTGGAGGGCCGTTCGCGTCTCGGTCGTTCTGTACCGAAAGGGTTAAGCGAGGGTTTAAGTTAACTAACTAAAATGTTTAGTTGATTTTATTGGACTAAATATAAATTTTTCGGATTAACAAATTTTTTTTTCAGTGTACAATAAATGCTATTCTTTGCACGGTGGACGAATACATGTTCAAAGTACCACGAGACAGGATTTAAGAGCCGTCTGTTGAAGATTCCTTCTCCGTGTCGGAGACCCGTCGAAAGTACTCATTCGTAAACCGTTCTTGACTGTCCAATTCCCGCGATTCTCCCATATCACTGCTCGTTGTGGACTCGGTCTGTACACGGACATCAGATGAAGAAAGTCACTGTCGAATCTTCGAGCGAGGACCACGTCACTGTCAGGATAGACAGCTAGATCCTTAAAGACGTCCAGTATCGAGTTGTCATACGTGGAAGTTATGTTGGTGTTATCGATTATCGTTCTTCGATCTTGAAGAAGTAGCCACTTCGTCGGGGCGATGAACATTCTCTTCGAATGCGCCTATTGCACAATGTCAGATACATACCTAATAATTAATTAGTTTAAACGGATGACGAAAGAACTCCCTGTAACTCTTATATACCATTAGTTTAGGAACGTTAAAGACATTTTTTAATTGACGATGGACTGTAATCTAAATTTATTAGGCAACCGCGAGTGAATATTGTAGGTCTCAGGCAAAATTTTTAACGTCGATAAACAGTGAGTGATGAGGTGGAGAGTCGCATTGCCTTTACTTTTTTTATCCTTTTAATCCGAGAGTCAACGTTTATTTGTGTGTCTGTGAAATTGGCGCCTTATTTTAAAAAATCACAAGTTTTATCATCAAGAGTTCTATTTGCATCACAACAGTTTAATAGTTCTGGCTGGTTTTTTTAAAATAGTTCCGTTTTTTAGATGTTTTTTTAAACGATATATATATCAATGGAATTATTTCTAAAAATCATCAGAAATTATAGGAATATTGTGGATGCAAATAGGACTGTTAATAAAATTTTTATTTTTTAAAGTGGTGTGCCACCTTCATAGAGATTGTATTTGTGCTCCCAGACAGACCTGTCAGTACCTGTCGTAAAATGTCGATGGCATAATCGCAGTCCAGGTCCAGCATGTAAAGATTTCGATGTTCTAAATTGTCGTAAATTCTCTCTTCGAGATCCTCGACGAAATTATGGATACCATGAATCAAACGGTAGTTTGACATTTCTCTCGATAATTTAATCGTGTCATCTGAAAAAAAAGAAGAAAGGAATCAATTAAAATTTTTTTAATACTTTTATTCGCTTTCTTGAATAAAATTATTATAATTTTATAGCGATATCATGACATATTCTATTCCAGGATATAACGAAGTTCATGGTAATGTGATTAGTTTATGTGATGTTCTAAATTAAGATTTTAAAAAAGTCTCTGTTCCTCTCTTTCTCTTTTTCTTAAAGTTTACTTCATAATTTACATTTTATTTATTTATTTTTTTTAATTGTATTTTTTAAGAGTCTCGAAATGTGAATTCGAAAATCTTGCCACAGCTGATGCATGTATGTAAAGATATCCTCGACGGCGAGAATAAAATAGGCGTCGCATCGGCGATAAATTGTAGGATCACGTTGTCTATCCGACGAGAGGCTGCAGTGTCGAGCAATATTGTAAGGATGCACAGAACGATGAAGAACATTCCATTCGCTTTTTTATTCGCCGAACGATTGCAAATAGATCCCTTCGGCATTGTCGACAGTACCGATTATCTGCCGCGTACACCGTAATCTTTTTTGCGTATATAGCCGGATTCGATACTTCCATCCATGACAAAACCGCTTATAATCTGGAAAAATGAAGACGTAATGAAGGGGAAATCGGCGCATTGAATCGACTATTACCGCATATAAAATATTTATCATTCGTGACGGACGCTACATTGATGCGAAGTATACTGTCGGCTAAAAGTTTGAGACCATCAATTCTACTATAAAGTTCTACTATATGAAATGAAATCAAATTTATGCATTATAATTTAACACATTTGTATTATTTTATCCGTTGTTTTATAATGACATGAAAAATGATATAAAACATTTGACAGTTCTACAAGAAATATTTCTTACAAGATAAAAAGGTATTAAATACTAAAAAACATTATATTTTTTTCGTTGATGTATAGTCACTCTTATATATATTTAATCATTTTTTTTTTACTAATTTAGATATTCTATAAAATATTCTAGAAATCTGGATACAAGTTTTCTTTTTCTGGCAGAAGATTTTTCTTTTAAAATAGTTTACAGCTCAGTTTTGGAAAAAATACTTTACCGTAATTCTGACCATAATACATTTTCTTGAAATTAAACAATACCACAACTGTGCTACATATATGTAATAAAATAATTATTTACTTTCAAATTAAGAAAAAAAATTGTTGAGTAATAAGAGCCGAATCAGATTTTTAAATAGTGTTTTACCGGAATACATATTTTTACATTTTATATGCAATCTCAAACTTTTAGCCGAAAGTGTATAGCTCGCGAAAAAACGGATGCAATGAAGAGGCAATCGGTCGATTCCAATGGTCGATTATTGCCGCACGTGAAATATTTAATATTCGTGACGAATGCTACGTTGACACGATGTATAGCTCGCATGATGATATAGCTTTGAAACGTATGGTTTTAGGATTTTGTCAGCTTTCATCGTTCTCACGGATCTCTTTCCCTATGTAATTATCGAAAGCACAATTGGAGACAATGATAGTGAATCAAGAAATTGCAAGATGCAAAGAAGTCAGAGTCTGTATTTTGCGTGTGAAAAAGTGCAGCTGCGAGATTTTACGTATTCCACCATCGCACTTGCAATATAATTTTTATGACATTCTTTCTACCTTTTCGCGTGTTACCATTGCGCCGACGCGAATTTTTCTAGCGTTCTATAAAGTAAGCATTGCTTTCATTGCATCGTATCGTTATACAAGCAATTTTGGTGTAGTAGAAGTACGTGGAAAGTGTTCAAATTAGCATTGAATATTGGCACATCGATTCTGTTTATAAGACGCGTTTAAAAAATGGCAAGATTTGCATATGTCGCCTTCTTAAGCACACAAATTGTAACGCCTCGTGTGTGAGTCTGTGTATAATATTACAAATATCAATATCTTACTCTTTAATCATTCGTACACACGTGCTGTGTTATACGATCATATAGCCGTAAAGTTCGACAAGCTCAACTCGCATAAAATCGGCTTCGAACAACTTCCGCGTCGATTCCATCTGCCTCCAGCGTGTTGTCTGTTTATCGCTTTCAATCTTTGTGATATTAATTGTATAAGGTAACTAACTCGCAGCAATAATGTAATCAGTACAAATTGTCACCAAAAGGAAATAGTTATTTTTCGAGTTTATATTTAAAAAGCACTCCGACTAAAACGTAATTGTTTCCGCGGTCTTACGAAAAAAGATTCCTTTACGGAAAATAATTGTTTGATGAGTTTTGTTGATGATAAGTTATAGTGATTGATACGTGAAACAAGCTTCTTCTCCAATCAATGCTTGCACGAGTGATTTTCAAGTGATTTTAATGAATAAAGTCATGATGACGTCATCATGATGTCCTTATGAGTTTTGTATTGTACTTGAGGAAACAATTATCCTCGTTTTTGTGTTTGAAAAAACTCATTTTTTGTTGAACAAATCTTTTTTGTCTAGTAGGCATTGTAATAGCAATCTAGTTGGTGCCTCACCTTTTGTACAATTCTTTCTTTCCTCTGTCATTTAATATATTCCATTTAAATTATGGAAAATATAAAATATTTTTATATATGAAAAATATGGTTTATGAAATGACAGATTCTGCTCGGTTTTTGCCAACAATCTGGACTCGTATTATGAAACTATTCGAAATGGATTCCGATCGGAATTATTTTTCTTAGAAAACACAATATAAATCTAGGAGATAACTGAACAATTTCCCGATCAAAATCCATTCCGAAAAGTTACGTGTCTTGTTGTCAGATTATATCGACAGGTTCTACCAGCAAAATACAAGTTTAATGCGTATACAGATGACATGGGATTTGTGTTGCAATATCTGAACAAATCTGCTACCAATCTGTTATTGTCACACCACGGGCAGTTTACTTACTGAGTAAATGATTACGATGCGATAGATTTTATTCTATTTCTGCAGTCCACCTGTCATTCTGCTTTTATCGACAAAATTCTATCGACAAAATTTGCAACAAACACTTTCAAAATCTGTTCTCGATAGATTTGGCTATCCGGATACTCGTAATATGATATATATATATTATGATATTTGATACAAAGTTTGATATAAATAATATTTAACTTTCAGAAATTATAGGTAGGGGAGAAGGAGGCACTTTAGGACAGAAGCAGTTTAGGACATCTCGAATAAAGAACAAATTTGTCACTTTGTTTTTATGTTAAACGCATTTTTCGGTTGGCAACCGGTCAATAGATAAACGTCACATGAGACCGCGCTGTTAGCTATTAAACTAATCTACAAGCTGTTAGTGATTTTTGCTGGCTGCAGTTGTAATTATTTTTATATTAAACTATTGCTCAAAAGGAAATTCACTTGTATGTTTTTCTGGTTATGATTATATATATGTTTTGCGTTGTAATAAACGAAATACAACAACATAATAAAAGAGTTGGTGTGAAATATTACGTTTTCTTTTTTCAAGTTAGGGTTGGGGTAGTATTGGACAAAGAAAAATTTGAGAGAAAAAGAGAGAAATTTGTGAGACTAATTCTTGCCTTAATTAAGATTCCAATAGGTAAATACTTATGTTTATTTGATTGCCTACTACAAAATTACCTACTGTATGTTAAAGAAAAAAATATATTATTAATTTTTAATAAATTTTTGTAATACATTATATTAAAAGAGGTTTGTAAGATGTTGCTTAGCAAGAGATTTATTACTTTTAATAAATAAAATAAGAAGACTAGAATTATCTCGGTTTTTTATTATCAGTTCTGCTTCAGTGGCGTCCTAAACTTCCAGGGAGGCAGATTAGGACGGAAAGAACATTTTTTTAATAGGTAGACACAACGAACTATACTCTTAAATGTATTTGTTTTACCACACGTTTTATATTGAGCATTAACAACCAAATTAACTTATAATTGAGTCAAAGAACCAATTTCTTAAAAATTGAAAAAGATATAAACTCTTAAAAAAATAGTGTCCTACAGTGCCTCCCTCTCCCTTATACATATTTATACATTTTGTTAATCTTTTTATGGAGTCTACATGACTTGAATTAACAATTTGAGATATGAAAAAAAAGAATAAAAAAAAATATAATTTTAACGATATTATTTTGTGTCTTTATGTTAAAAATGGTTTTTTTTAATAAGACTGATAGCAGTTATACGTGTAAAAATTAATAACTAAATAATATTTAACTTTTAGTAAGATTGTTATAAATATTGTTTATATGCATGTCCAGAAAGTTTTATTAAAATTAAAGAAATTAGTTAGTTATTCCTTTCATTAATCTTTAATTATTTTTACTTATAAATTTGATATACTTTCAAGGAAATAGAATTTTAAAAAATCCACAGAAACTATTTAGGCGACCGGTTGCCTATATCATACCTTTTGCAGCATGTTACAAAAAGACTCATGACAAATTAATTTGTTATTTTAGTAAAAGGTTAAACATATAATAGTTTTATTAACAAATAAAAAATTACTTTCTTAAAATATTAATTTTTTCTAGAATTAATTACAAAAGCACATATATTATCGTGCCCGTTCTTCCGCTTAATTCTTCACGTAACACGTTTTGTTCGTCTTCTCGTAATAGAAGATTTAAAAAAATAAAAAGTGACATTATATAATTACACGCATCATATGCTTTTACACACAAGTGAAAAAATCCTTTTATCGTGTGTATAAAGAATTTTATATGGAATACTTAATGCCAACAAGATTCTGTAAAATTTAATTTAGTATGCTTTAATATAAATGTTATAATATCGTCAAATAAAATCTTACAAAAGTTTTATAATATCATAATCTGGCACATAGATTTCATAAGATTTATTTTTAAAAAACTGTTATAACCAAAAGAATTTGGCGCTGCTGGATCTCAAATTGTACTTATTTATTATTATTAAAAATACTATATATAGAAGACTTATAATTAATACTTATATACATAGATATTCATTAAATATCTTCGGTCAATTCTACGGAGATAAGTATACAGATAAGTATAGATATATAATAAATACCTTTGGTAATTTTTTGGTGGACATGAATATATGGATAATATGAATATGTCTGGTAGATGTCTCCGCTAGTTATTCGGACAATATATCTTAATTAGTTAATATATCTCAATATCTTAATTAGTTTAATATATCGTAAAGATACCACGAAAGGACATATATCCATTAGATATTTTTTTAGAATTGAGATATATTCAGATTCGAAATTAGGGTTGTAAATTGTAAATAAGAATTTATAAACAAGTTATAAAGAAACAACGAATAAAGTATAGGTGAAAAAATGAGAAGAGAAGAAGGAAAAAGAGAGAGAGAGAGAGGGGGAAAGAGAGAAGGAGCAAGGAAGACAACGATGCATCACCCAGCAAAAGAAACATATATAGTGCAAATATTTTATTATTTAATTATTATCTCTATATGACATAAAATTAATTACATATTTCCGCAACAGTCGTATACAGTCACTACCATCCATTTTATATTTTTGTAACTGATATAATACATGTACATTCCGTCGCGATAGTAGTAAAAAAGTTCTTTTATAATAAACTTTTATAATAAACAAATTATATTAAATTACAGTTACTAATGGCTTACCTTATAAGAAAAAAATTTGATTAATTGTAAAAAAAATAATTATTTAAATAGATATATAATAAAGTCTAATCTTTCCTGGGTTTCATACAACATCTTTCCTTTATTGCGATTATATGTTTCGATCGCTTGTTCACGCATTTCTTCCCATTCGATCAAAAGTTCAAATATAGGACATGCATAATTTGGCGAACAATATTCAACGGCAAAGTTCAATGCTGATTCAACTTTCTCGTCCCATCGAACTTTGATGCACAATACCAACCAAAAAAACCTGCGAAATATATGCGCTTTATAATGCGCGTTGAACAATTGTGAATTAATCTGAATAAAGATATGCATATTTACTTTATTTCACAATTTTTGGAATCAAGAGCGTAATGATGAAGAATGACTTCCAGTTTTCTTATGGTCAGTTTCTCATAACATTTATATAGATAGTGTAGTAATATCATTATTTGAACGTCACTAGGGGAGTTTCCATCAATTAAGAGTGGTATATTAATGGGTTTATAATCCCAGTTGACCCATTCTACCGTTAAATTGCTAATATTTATTTCCAATGCGGTAAATACTTGCAAGACAGGTGGGGAAGGGACTGTGTCGAACCACTCGTCCCATGCAACACCATCTAATAACTGAAAATAACATAGAAGTCATTATTTCTAATGCTAAAAATATATGAATACTGGTAAAATTGTAGTTTGTATGTATATAAGAGATGTTACCGCCTTTTTGTTAGAAAAATATTCATATAAGTAGTCCTTCCAATTCTTAGTGTTTATACTTTCGTACTTAAATTTTTTAAAGTAAGATCTAAGGAATGGTTCGAATTCTGAAGGTCCTCCTAATATATTCTCTAAATAACCTAAGAGCATACACCCCGTTTCATAAGGCACATAATCAGTAGCTTCATGGGGCGACGTATTCGTCAAATTGGGTAATAAACAATCTAGCATGTCCACATTTCTGAATTTTTTAATCTGTAATATAATTTCAGAAAATATCACATTGCACTATAAAGAATTCAAGAAATGGGTTTGCGTTTGTGTTTATTGCGTATACAAAGTAAAATATTGTCAATTATTAATATTATTTATTACTTCTAATCAAAGTACTATACTTTACCATATTCTTCAGGGCACGGATTCCTATCTTGTCCAAGAAAGACTGCATGGCTTCACAGTCTTGCAATATTCGGCAATAAATTTTCCTGCCAATAAAATTGCTGAAACTCCTATTCAGCCACAAATGCTCATAATTCGAACATGTAACTAAATTTCCTGCCCAGCACTGTGAGATGTTCAGAGCGAATTTACTGAGACGAGTACGATCTTCGCCAAGTATAGTTGACGAAATAAATGTCACGCATGGACATTCTATTTTGAAATGGGCGATACTTGGAGGAAGCACGCATATATCGTATTTATGACCTAAATATATACAATATTATTTTAAACATAAATATAACAATATAACAATAAACAAAAAAAGATTGATAATGCACAAAAATAAAAATTTTTAATAATAATAATAATAATAATAATATAACATAAAAAGTAAACATATCAAAATAATTTTTAAAAAATTTTTAAAAATTAAAAATTTTTAATTTAAATAAATAATTAAAAAAACTAGTCAATATTTTACCCCACATATAAGGTCCACACAGACTTTCGGCAACTTGCAACATGGTTTCAATCCCGTCCGAATAAGAAGTATAATCTATATGTTCATTAATAAATTTGCTTTCGGCAAATACTTTGGTCTTTTCACTAATATGTATTGTCTCTAGTAAGCCCACAGCAATAATCACTGCATAAGGTGGTACACGGTTACTTTGAATGAATGTATATACGTCTAGATCTAGATTATTGTTGTAGTCTACATCGTGCAAATAAGCGGACATCAAAACTTTGTATCTTTTTGGTACTGAAATCTAAAGAAGATAATATGTTTTAATAAAAATTGAATAGATTTTAGTTGAACTGAAGCAATTTCTAAGAAAATATAGTGTCATTTACATTTAAAAGTACACTACCGCTTATTAATTTCAATACACCCCCAGATTCGTTGATTTCTTTATGAAGCATGAACATGATACGTGTATTTTGTACAGAAATGAATGTACTTGCTGTTATAAACACTTAACTTGCATCACTTTAGGTTAAGTAACCTTGTGCGCGTATTTTCTGTATTTCCAGAGATCAGACACTATCCGGCTATTAGCCCCGTTTTTTTTTTCCCTCGAAAACTACAGCTTTCAAGAATTTTTATATAAAAACAATATATAAAAATACGATGCATGCAAGTGTTGAAAAAGTTTATAACATCAGGTGCATTCATTTCCGTGCAAAACACACACGTATCATGTTCATCTATTACAGAGAAATCAAAGAATCTAGGGATGTATTAAAATTGATGAGCGGTATTATAGTGTATTTAATTTCCTTTTTACTAACGCGTCCCCATTTCTTCGCAAATTTTTATTACTTTTAATACTAATGCAGTCAATAATAATCAATCAAATATCATAGTTTTCATATAAATAAATATGAATGCTAAATGCATACAAATACTACTTGTATTTAACTGTGTTGAAATTCTTACCTTAGCAGTGTAAATAATTTTGACAGATGGGGTGTCCTGGCAAGGAAACCATGCTCTAGCGTAAATTAGCTGAAAAAAATCAAGATTTTTATACATTCATGATTTTCTACATTCATGTAGAAAAATATCATTGTTTATATAGCCAGCGTACCTTGTTATTAGACAATAAGAAAGGATATAAACCATCAGCAGTTTGCTCCGGTGTTAGCCAATATAATGCAGGAGAGTTTGGACTCGTTTTATATTCAATTTGAATCATATGTCTATTATATCTAAATCTAAAAGTATCATATTATGGGTATATTCGATTTTTACATCAATAATTTTTAATAAATACAAATTTTTCTCTAAAAAAATATTATATTTACTTAGATTTATAAGTAGTATTAACACTACCAACATTTTGTGGTATTTGTATGGAAAATCGACTTCCAATGTATGGAGCATGACCATTTTTAATACGATGATCGAAATCATCTTCCACACGATAAATGAAAGGTGTTCCATCACTGCCTGTGACACTTAATACATCAAGTCCGAAGTTATCTAAAATCTAGTTATTCAATATTACATGTTAATAAACAGTCAAATTTTTTGCTCGATATAAAAAGGATTGTCCGCTCACTATCTCATTAATTGAAGGTTTCCATTCTATAAACAAATGCGCTGTTCCTTTAAGAACTCTTTGGTTGAAATCCACAGTTAAGAATAGATTGATACTGACCACACGTGCCTCTTCTTATAATTAGGAAGATGGAAATTAAAATACATACGTAATGAGTAATGATAAATGTAATAGTACATGACAAAAAAATGTTATATTTTATTAAAGATCATAATAGTAATTATGCGATATTATTCCTAAAATACAAATAATTTTTAGATTTTTATATTAAATACAATATGTTTTATACATTTAAGAAAATTTACAGAATATTTTCACAGTTAATTGAAACTGAGAGAATAATTCAATTTTGAAAACTTTAAATTAGTAGAGAGCTAAATATATTATATGTAGCAATTTCGTCTTTCAAACATCTTTATAAATTACGAAAACATTCGATATTTTGTTATATTATCTTTAAAATAAAAGAATAAGTATATAAATTTGAAGTTCTTTGTATTATGCTTATGTAGCTAATCACATAATTAAAATACCTGGTCTCGCAAAAGAGTGTGAAGTATTTCTTGAAATACTCATTTTGAGAGAGTCACGTTACAGCCTTTTCAAACGGCTTGCAATAACAGATCTTTATGTCTATTATACTCACCGCATAAAGGCACAGTGTTGCCTTTAAACTTCTATCACTTTCTTTTGTTTGGTAACATGTTTATTAAAACGTCAAAGTGACTGTTCGCATATAAACATTTTCAAATCCATCGATTTCTAAAAGAATAGGCACGTTAAATCGATACTCGAATGTATCGAAAGTTTCGAAGTGTTAAGGCTCAGTCACAATGAGAGGAATGGAATAAGGAATAAGATAAAGGAATAAGGAATAAGAGAATGTCGCATCTCACTTTAGTACACGTACATTAAAGTGAGATGCAACATGCCTTATTCCTAATTCCTTTATCTTATTCCTTATTCCTCTCATTGTGACTGAGCCTTTATTGGCTCTTTTCCGCGATGCCGATTAGTTAAAAAATAATGCGTGGTTTTGTCAGTAGATGGCGACATGTATTCGATTCGTCAGCTGATCGCTGATCGCGCCGAATAGAACAGTTTTCGGAGCAATTCGGAGGAGTGACGTTTAATTAAAGTATTGTTTTTAATATTTTAAACATATTGAGTAACGCAACTGTGTCGTACGAGAACACTTCGGGATGGAGCCGCAGGATATTTATTACAACAAGGCTGAATACGTTGAAACGGTAATGGTTATTTAAGGGAATTGAAACGTCCACATTATTGAAACGTTTACCAATATCTGGAATTGGAAAGAAATATTATAATTATCGTTAAAAGATACATACCATAGAAATGACTTGACAAATTTGATCGTTTAGCGACGCTTCTCGCGATCCAGATATACAGAACGTAATACATAACCTCGCTTTTTCGCTATCTCAGGCCTCCGGAAATAAAGTGAGCAGGCTGACGGTGTTGTGCGGCTCGCAAAACATTGTGCTGCATGGAAAGGTCATAGTGCAATCTGACGCTATCATTAGAGGCGATTTGGCCAATGTTAGGACGGGTCGCTATTGTATCATCAGCAAGAATGCCGTCATTCGACCACCTTTCAAGAAATTCAGCAGAGGGCAAGTGAAGTTTTTTATTATATTAATATATGCACTACACTGAGGCCCAGTTTCACCAACGTCGATTAACTGTAACCTTCGATTAAACTAACTGTCTTCCTTAGAAAGAGACAAAGAGTGAGTTTAATTAAAAGTTACAGTTAATTGACGTTGATGATATTAGGCTTGATAGTTCTAATCTTTCTATAAAAGTTTGAGGATACCAGCTTATAATATCGAGACACAGTTTGCAAACAACTCGACTCTTTAATACAATTACGTTAAATTCTAAATTCTAAGAATGATAAATTTTGTTTAGGGTTGCCTTCTTTCCTCTAACGATGGGAAATCATGTGTTTGTGGGAGAGCGGGCAGTCGTGAACGCAGCGTTGGTTGGTTCTTACGTTTATATTGGGAAGAATGCCATAATTGTACGTATAACGACTTTTACTTGGCATATTGAGTTAATTGATACAAGCGCGGTGCATTCACAATTAATCATACTTGTCTCGCTATAGGGTAGGCGATCTGTTCTGAAGGATTGCTGCTACATTGAGGATGGAGCAGTCGTGCCACCAGAGACCATCGTGCCGTCCTTCACTCGTTTCGCTGGCAGTCCGGCGACGTGTGTCGAAGAGCTGCCCGAGTGCACACTGGATCTCATGGTAGACTTTACGAAGAATTATTACGAGCATTTCTTACCGGCGCGCGTTTAATGTTTATTCATTTGTACATGTATGCTAATAACTTATAGTCAAGAGAAAATTTATTCTTTTTAAATGCATTATATATTTGTGCTCTGCACTCAAGATGAAATAAATATATAATCAAGTATCGCCTATGCGTGACAGAAAGAGATAAGAGAAGGTAAAGCAGCTACAACTGAAAAGAATAGATCTAAGATCAGTCGTATAGATTTTTTAGAATTAATGTATAGATTTTGTTATATTTTTGAATTATATATAAGAATGTTCGAATCAAGAGTTTTGTTTGTAATTTAAAATCAAATTTCTTGTACATAATTATTCATATATGTATCGTAACCTTGAAGTCGCGGCTGATTTTGACTGTAAATCAGTGTAACTTGTAAGATTATTTATTTATTGTACTTTTGTATTATTGTACTAGGCAACTGATTTCAAGATTGTGTACGTAATGTCATAAAAGAAAGCTCGTAAGATTTATTAACCACATGCATTTATTTTACGAGTAATCTATTTCACACAGTGTTTTGTACATAAAAGGAGGTTGTTGAAACCTTATTAAAGGAATAGAAATGAATATATATATGTTTCCTAATGGTAATTATTTTAAATGGGATTAAAAATGACGACACATTAAAATGACGTTGACTCACGATTCACCCTTATTTTGCTAAAGGATACAAACATCCAACAGAATGATAAAACATGTCTCTAACAAAGTTTTTAAATAAAGTCTACATTCAGTTAAATTTAGTACAGACAGCTCAGGAAACCAGATGCCTCTTAGTTTCTGTCGGACTAATGTACATTTTTTGCAGGCACTTAATCGAGGTATACCAAGTCGGTTTCTGCCCTTGACGTTTCTATTATCGCGCATTTTTTTGCGCGCATAGTTTGCCTGCAAAAGAAAATGTAACAAATAACGCAAGGCATGGTAACGATGTCTCTCTTAAATCTTACCTCTTGTGCCACAGCAACTCGAGCGCAAGCACGATTACAGCGAGGAGTATTCCGTAGCCCATTGTGATCAGCGCGAAATCGCATTCCGTGAAACCGATAGTGATAAAGCTGGTCTGACTCGCACATACTGGTTTCCTCGTATACAAGCGATATTCTTCGCGATATTTAAGTCCGTATTCTCGTAATTTTAGAGCTCTGAAAACATATAATTCCTGATGAGTGCTGAACGTTTTGAGAATTATTAGATCATGATGTGGTTATTAATTCGTGTGTGTGTGTGTGTGTTGTGCGCATACAGTACACAGAAAAAAAGTATTAAATCATATTCTTGTATATAAGCAAGAATCTATAATCTTATAAGAATTTCAACTTTTTTTTCTTGATTAAACTACACAAATACCTTTACTCGTTTTCTCTCTTTGCGCCATTTAACGTAATTTAGATATATCTTGTTTCAAGATTACAGATTCTTGTTTAACAAGAATATGAGTCTTGATTTAACATTTTTTTTTTCCTGTGAACGTTTTTAAAAATAACGCGTTAATAAAATCTGTTTTGATGTTTTTACGCTAGACTTGAAATTTCCAGGAAGTTTTATGAAATTTAAAGTTTTGAAGAACTGAAGATCCAATTGTGAAGACAATTCGATTACTATTTACCCAGTTTTTATTATCTCTGAGTAAGGCGATTGTTCTTGTATCACGAGAAGCGGATATAAAACTTTTAGGTAATCGATCTCAGTCAAACCGCATTTCTCCTCCTCGAAGTACGTGTCTTGCATCAATTGGTATACTGTACCGATCTCGCCTTGAAATGCAAAGAGTTCATTTCTTATGCGACGCACACCTTCTTCTATGGACATCCAATTAGATTTTCGTCCTTTCGGCTCGATTCGCTGTTCCAGGATCGCCTTTCTAACGGGATCTTGAAAAGACTACCATCCCACATAAAGAACTAATTTGTTTCTTGCAATTATCTCTTATATACTACTAATAATTTTGACACCGTAATAAGCCAAAGTATTTAATAATATATTATATATAATAAAAGTTTTTAAATTATATATTAATTTTTTCGCAGTTTCAATATACCGACCTTGGAATAATATCTATTGTACACTACGTCCTGCGCGCCCAGCTTTAAAGGACTGTTTAGGAGATGCGGAAGAGTTTTGATAGAATCCGTGGTAGATTGCAGCAAACCCACGATATTTGCTGTATAAGACGCATAGAGACTCAGTGAGGCCAGCAACAGCATAAAGGTGACGATTCGAGATGAAATTCTGTGTGGCTCGTACGCATATCCTGCGGGAGTACAGAAATTTTATAAATTTTATATTGAAAAAAAAAATGAAAATAATTTAATTTGTATAACATTCGCGAAATAACAAACGTTTACGCGGTCGAAGAAGATGAGATTTAGTCGTCAGAAATTTTGTAAACATTCGAGAATTCATCAAGTATATTATCGATTATATTAGCGTTAATTGTTTCTCTATACCTTGCTGAGAAAATGCGCCTAAAAGAATGAGAAGATAATCGCTGATCGTTGGCTTATTGGGTTTTTGATTCCAGTCGGTTGCCGATTCTGCCATTCTGTCGCGATAATTTTCCCATTGGATTGTTAAATAGAGCAGACAGAAGACCAGAGTGAGAAACACGGCAATCGCTATCCAGACATTTCGTTGGAAGGGCAAGATAAATATGTTGCTCACGGTCGACAGTAAAGGCCGTCGAAATACGAAGCGCGAGCTGTGTAGATTTGTAGTACATTAGCCATAAAATGTCGATAACAATATAATAATAAAGGGCTATAATAAAAAGCTAAAATTTATAGCAAATTTAATAATCTTTTTAATCAAGTCCACATTAAAAAAATAAATTATAAATGTAAATATAAATTATAAATTAAAAAAATTATAAATAACTGAAATTTTAATTATTTCCTGTTTCTTCTTAATGTTGCCTTTGAAAAGACATAGAAAATCAACTTAAACTACGTTTCAATTTAATAAGTAAATAATTCTTTTACCAAGTATGTGTATACAACTGGATATATTGTACAACACCGATACGTTCCGGTACGAGAAATGTAGCGGTGCCGCCGATATCGATCTCGCGCCGTTTTAACATCCCGATCATTCCATTCCAGGAACCGTTCTCGGCACGATATCCCCAGCTATTCGTGACTTCGAAACTTATTCTGTCGTATAAAGCAAAATATAGAATTTTAACTCGGTGGTTAACGCATATTGCATCTCGTTTCCATGAACAAAAACAACAAATTGCTTTTTAATTAAAACTACAATTATTTGAATTTATTAATAGTTTTTGTCAAAAATGATTTCTCAATTTATGTTAAGGGAAGATGTATAGAAGTCGGAGTAAAGAAGTACCTATATAGAAATTCGGATGATAAAAAATCGCTTTATCTTTAATTAAATATTTCTGTGTATTTATATTATTACATTGATAACCAAAGAATTAAAGAATTATGTCACAATGTTTACAGACTTTAATGAATTTTGGATTTTAATCAGCCGATTAGATACGAGCAAATACGATAATCGTGCAATTTTTATCAGTTACGATAATTAATAAGTATGTCATGTGCTTATTTTATTATAAGTCGCTCCATTTACGCGTCTGATTATGCACCGTTGCCCGTTTAAAAACAAATTTATCACCGGTTTTTGACAAGTTACACTGTAATCGCCTGATCACTTTACTGCGGCCTCGTTAATTAGCCTTGAGCTCGAATTTTATTACGTCGTTTTGAAGCTCGCATTCACACACGATTTTAAAATTGGCAAGATAATTCGTTACAAATTATCGCGCCGTTAAATTTACTTCACAAACTTCCTAATGAGATATTTGAGCGTTGGTAATACGATGTCGAAGAACTCACGTTGCATTCATCCGGTTCACCAAATGCAGTATCCAAGGATAATTAGCCTTTGTAACAGGATCTATGGTTTTATCCTTGAAGTCCGTCAGATGATTGACTGTATTGGGGTCCGTCATCTGCAATTGCGATAAATCTTGAAAAGAATATATCTTTTCTGTTAAAGAAATTTTTAAAATTGCGGTTATAAATCACGGCGATGTTTTCGATATTTTATTATGAAAGTGGCTAGTATTTTACTCGCTCTGCTTTTCGTTCAATACAGCAATATAATTATATGTTACACACATGTTGCGTTAGCTTGCAAATAAAACGCTTTGACAACGTGTCGTTGATAATGTAAGTAAGTGCATTTTCTTGCATGATAAACGATTTGTAGTACATTTATTCAAAGTACCACGAGACAGGATTTAAGAGGCGTCTGCTGAAGATCTCTTCTTCGTGCTGAGGCCACATCGAGAGTTCTCATTCGCAGACCGCTCTTGATCGTCCAGTTTCCACGATTTTCCCATATCACACCTCGCTGCGGACTCGGCCGATATACGGACAATAATTCGAGAAAGTCACCGTCGAATCTTCGCGCGAGGACCACATCACTGTCAGGGTAGATCGCCAAATTCTCGAAGATTTCCAACAAAGAGTCGTCATGTGTGAACGTTAAATTGGCGTTATCGTCGTTGTCAATCGTTTGTCGATCTTGAAAAAGCAGCCACTTCGTCGGAGCGACGAACATTCTTTTCGAATGTGCCTGTCATTTCATATCAGATACCGACCATGATAAATTAGAAGATTGATACAAAACATAATAACGACGAAATTGTTTGTGCAATGAGTCTCATCAGTCAAAGTGTCAGCGAAATATGAAGATAATTCTCTTAATTTTCTTAATCGCCTTATTTCAAGATTTATAAATAAATATTTTCGTCTGCTTGTACTTTTATTCGTAAGGTACTTATAGCGGACATAAATACATATATGTTACCTGTCGTAAAACATCGATGGCATAATCGCAATCCAAATCCAACACGTACAGGTTTTGATGTTCTAAATTATTGTAAATCTTTGGATCAAATTCCTCGTAGAAGTTACGAATGTTGTGCGTCAAGTAGTTGCTCGACAATATTTTCGATAATTTGATCGTGTCATCTGCGAAAGGATATACTTAATTCGACTCTGATAAATATCTTTTATGCGTTATCTTTATTAATATACAAAGTTAGATATTATTGCATTACATCATGTACAGTGGAAATAAGAAATTCTGCATCCAGAATACATATATAGTATATTTATTTATTTATAAGTTAAAATTTTACTGAAATAATTCAACTAATTAATGTTTCTCATTATTATACATGACGAATTATGACACATAAAAGAATTTAAAAATTTTGTACGGAATGAAAATTGCAGCTAGTTCGATATCAATATAATCGCAGAATTTGTTTAACAAAAATAGCCTAAACAAAGTTAATACGTAAATCAGTGATATTTTAATAGTTTGTATGTCAATGTTTCAAATCCTCCTTAAGGCACACCTAAACTTAATTGCGGGCGAGTTACGCCCGACTAAATGCTGAACACAATTTTTGTAACTCGCATTGCAGTTAAAAATTCCTCCTCTTCCTTTTCTTTTATCCTTTTCCTTATTCTTTTTTTTTTTATTTTTATAATTTTTTTTTATACCGCTTCTTCAAACTAATTAAGAGAGGTATGTGGAACAGATAAATCTACATATTTGGTCGTTCAGTGACGGGTCATGAGATAAATAGAGCTACCTGAATGATGGGCAAAGTGTTCAAATGGAAGTACTGTTTTATGTGTGCTGCATATCAAAGAGAAATTGACACCTGGAAGATCGGAGTTAAGTAATCTTCCAGAAAGGAATGTCTATAATTTTCAAGTCATTCATGGAAGAGATTCTTTACTTATCGAAGTTTCGATCATCCAAGAACGTGGAATGTCTTGAAGAAATATGTGCCTAAGGACCTTTATAGTTTGTTAAGAAAAGAAGATACGGACGTAATTGATGGGTGAACAGTTGACTATTTTTCTTAAGGGTCACTTATCTGCATTGTTATCCCACAAGAATCTTTTTCTCTTTGGCTTTTTTATGTTTTCTCGTTGTTAATTTAAAGAAAAGGAAAGAGAAAAAGAAGAGAAGGTTGAAGTACATCGAGACATTTATCTTACACGTAACTTCTTTCTAGTGTTACACGCCGAATTTTTTATTTTTTAGATTTTGATTTAAGATATCAAAAGATAAGTTTTTCATCCAAAAAAATAACTGTTCAATTAACCGTAGCGCTTATGGTGTTTTATTTCCAATGATGGAATAAAATACTTCAAAAATAACTCATTTTTCCAAAAAATGCTTTAAACAAAAGTTTCTTAGTTTTAAAAGAAATATAAAATAGTAAGCTTTATATGTATAGTGTGCGTGACGTAAACTATAGATTTTCAGTATTGGCAGTCCCAGGTAGCACATATTAGTTTCATATACGTTTTTTGAACGTATATATAGTTTCAACCGTAAAGAACCATTAAGAAACGTTTGAACAAAAATGTTTTTGAAACCATGATTTAAGAAACGTATTTTTTACGTTTTTACAGTTAATAAAAATACCAATTTGTTAAATTTTTTCTTTCAAAATTATAATTTGCTTTATCTATATATATAATAGCTTTAATAGTCTTTTTTGAAACATTTAAATTTATATTGCACTAATTATTATTGCACAAAATAAATTATTTTATCCATGCACATATATCCATTTATTTACTTAAATTAATTTTGTCCTACCGGTCTTAATCTATTTGTCATCGGACAAATCTGAGCTTAGAAAACTTCCAACAGTTGCAAAATAAACATTCTGATGAACGTGGCCATTGAAAGAACATTTATACATGTGTTCCGTTTTGAAGAACTTTCTGAACTGATGCACATCAGTAATGCAATTAAGTTAGAGTGAGACAAGTATATTTTGTTCCACTTTAACTTATTGCACGAATGTGCCCCAGTTCAGAAATTTCTTCGAAAAAGAATAGACGCCGTAGATGGTATATGCATATAAAGCTTCTAGAACATTCTCACGCATATGTCTCAAAGACGTCATAAACACGTTCAAAAGACGTAAAAAGTAGGAATTTTAAATGTCTTTATTTAAAATGTCTTTATCATTAAAATAAAACGTTTCTATAATAGTTTTTTAAACGTTATTTTATCGGAAAAGAAACGTTCCATTGAATGTTTTTTTCCGAATGGACATTTTTACTCATGAGAAACGTTTCTAGAAACTACCTGGGGTGAATATTGGAACACAGCTTATGTCAACCACTTTGTGATAAAGAATATTTCTATATATGCAACAACTACATTGAATAAAATTATTATAATTTTAGTTAATTTTATTTGTTATCTGTCAATTAAAGAAGCATTAACTGAAAAAAAAAAAAAACAAAGAAATTAAAAAATATGACATAAATGTAAAATAAAAAATATTTTATATAAGATATGAAATACCTCATAAAATATTTATTTTTTGATCATTTAACCCTGTACAAGTGTTCAAATTTATCAAAAGATAAGATTTATTGAGATAATTATCCTAGATTTACACATTTGCACTTTAGGCTCTAGTTAATTCTTTTTTCTTGCACTTTGATTTAATATAAAAGAGTATTCTTAATTTTCTCTATAGGTATTATTCTCATTTTTATGCAGTTAGCCATAGCAGATAACTAATCGTTGCCAAAAATTTCGAGCGCTCCCTTTTTCTCGATAAACAAACAATATAGAAATCATGAATACGAAAAATCTTGCCATAGCTGGTGCACAGTTGTAAAGATACTCTCGCAGGTGGAAATAGAATGGGCGTCGCGTTAACGATAAATCTTACGATAACGTCGTCGACGCGAGGTGACGCGATTACGTCAATGCCGAGTGACAAGATACACAAGACAAAGAGGATCATTCCGATCGCGCTTATCTCCGCTGACTGACTGTGGAGATCCTTCGAGATTGTAGGCAAAATCGATCAAATTCATGCACCGTTTATCGTACCATAGTCTCTCCATGATTACATAGCGATTCCGCGTAATTCCGCACATTGTAGAATCGTGAATCCGCGAAGAAATAATAGGCAATCAAGATAACGAGCGTTATTACGACTGGTGAAATATTCAAGATAGACGTTAGACGCTGCTTAACGTATGTCAACAGATTATATACTTGGTATGGTGCTTCTCGAGGCACGATTTCGCCAGCTTTCCTCGTTCTCACGAATGCTTTTTTATCCCTCCGAATGCACTATTTGAGACGATAATGGTAGCGCGATATGCATTATGAATCCGCGAAGAAAGGCAGCTGGAAGACCTAGCCTACCTTCAATGCCACGTGTACGGCTTTCGAAGGATTATCTTTGCCCGTTTTCTTATCGTGAAACAAAGATTTGCACTCTCCGCATCTCCGGCGCGCATATTTGACGCACATGTTTGACGCATGTCCTCGTGTTGAATGGTGTACGTGATCAACGTATCGGACAAATTTATTTCACATTAAGCTACATTAAACGTCATTATATTTAAATTAAATATGATGTTAGATTAAACGTCGCTATATTTAAATTAAATATGATGATAGGAAAAAATTCTTGATTAGGAGAATCTTATTTTTATATGTTTATAATAAAATTACTCAATGCAATCAAGTTCGAAAAAGGATGGTTTTATTTAACTAAATACTGGATAAAGAGATAGAAAAAACGTTCTGCACTAGAAGAATACACGTTTTTGCAGGTATCAATAATTTTTATCGAATATCAGTGCAAAAACTTCATTTATTTATTTATTTTTAAGGCATTTTATGTTATAGAAAGAAAGTCTAAGACATATTCTAGAATAACAATATAATAGCTGCAATGCAGGGTAATGGTTGTAACAATAATGTAATTGTAATTGTATAAACAGTTGTAGTTGCAGAATTTAATATGAATTATGATGTTTAATGTTTAATAATTTAAAGCAGCACTATTATATATTTTTTATTAAATTTTTGGTGATTATGATTTCAGTATGGAATATCATAAATTAGAAATAGTTTTTGTAAATTCTTTTAAAGCCCAAATGCACGAAACAAATAAATATTTATATCTATTTATTTCTCTTTTACAGTGCTAACAGTTGGATTCTATGACATATACCTACAATAAAACTTTTCCACGACACACGACGCTTCAGTGTGAGAGTTTCCATTTGAGGTGGGACAAAATCTGTGTAAATATTCCGTCATTCGAAACGTTCGACGGAAGGCTCGTCGCCCGCGATGAACGTGCAAAATTGCTGTCTTAGTTTTAGTCAGTCTGTACACATATGCTACGCTACAATGCGATGTCATAAAGCGACAAGACTCGATACTCATACGATCTGAAAACTTCCGTCCCATGTGCATCCAACATGGTCGTTGATTTAATCCTTTCAAGTATCGAGTCACGTAATGACGTTTTTTTAATTGCGCCTTACTGCACGCTCGATGCAATCACGTACATTTACAAACCTGCGTTTGTATTTATCTTACGGAAGAAAGGAGAACGTTGCATGCTAAATATTGTCGAAATTTACATGTTAATTAAATACTTTTTGAAACGGAATTATATTTAACGAGGATTCGACGGCGGGCCATAAGTTGACGGAAACACTCGAACATGTTAGTCATTATAAATTTCCAATTAACGAGAGAAAACACGCGCCAGAGGAAGCTTTTCACTTTTCTCGGATATTTCACTCATGTGCGAAATCGTGCAATGCTTATCGAGGAGATCGCGCGGCGGGTCTCCGCAATTAAGGCGAAGCATCGTAATCAGCGAGCGAATTGTCGCGCAACCAACCGATATGTACAATCGCGTTGCAACATTTCACGTAGACAAAGGATGATTGTGCAACAATTTAATTCGTAATAGAACAGATTCTCTCTAAAGGTGATAGCATCCTGTGTCGTAACAATTATTTTTGCATTCTTAATTCTTTTTTTGGTTTTAATAAATAAAAAAGAAGTGGATAAATGATCTAAAAAATGTATGAATACGACAGACACAGAAAAGAGTTCGAATCTTAATTCGTTGAGATTCTTTGATGGACTCGACACGGTAGTCGTACACGGAGAGAATTTTTTGTTATATTTTACCGTTAAATTCACTACAAACTTGGGACAACTTGGCAACCAAGGAATTTTTAAAATATACAAAAGACATTTTACAAACAACGTAATAAAAATTACCAAGCAGATTATGGTAATTTTGGAAAAATTATTGAAATTTTATTGTATATTTTAGTAAAATTAATTCAACACATTTTATATTTTATTGTAATAGATATTAATATTTTTTTTAATATGATAGATATTAATCAGAATAGCTCGCATAAAATTCTTCGCAATACATGTTGTCCCACAACTACCATAATTTTCAGGGTAAATTCTAAAAGAACATTCTCGCCGTGTGCCGTTTTTCAAGTACACGAAAGTTTCACAGATTGTCTTTATAATAAAGTATCCTTGGATAACAGAAATCGATTATCGCACTATGCATATTTGTTAAAATTAATTTTTCTTGTGAATTGCAAGGAGCTAACAGATATTTCGCGCTTTTGCAGATCGTATTGTCCGGTCACGTGGAGACCGAGAGCTTGCTTACCGCTCGCATTGGCAGCTCGCGTGATTAGCTAGTGATTGACACGTGAGACGAGCCTCCTGCCGTTTTCTTATCAGCGCTTATTCACGAGATCACCAGATCGACATGGGCAAACACCGAATCGCACGTGCTCAGAATTAATCGTCCTCGCACAACCGCGAATCCACGGAGCGCGATTCAACAATCAGTTTTATTGCCGGTCTTTAATATTCCGCGTGAGATGTATGACTCTCGATTGCGATCGAATATTTCGCTCGCATACGATGATCCATTACGCAAGATAAGAGACTTCGTGGAAGCGATTGCGAGTTTCCCCTTTTGCCGAGAGACGTGTTCTCGTCGCATTCTTATATGAATTTTGAGTTTATCTGTGAAAGTAATCTTAAGGTCATTTAAAAGGCGGAATTAGTTTAAAAATAACCATGCAATAATTACTAGGTATATAATTACTATTAAAAATTATATATTTCCTCGCTGTGTGTCGCCTTACCAGAATGCGCAGACTACTTCAAAACACTCTTAAGTAATCTTAATTGCAATGTTATCGCGTCAATGCCGGGGAATCCCACATTTTAATTCACTTAATTAAATGTAATAGAACAGATTCTCTCTAAAGGGAATTGCATTTTGTATCGTAACAATTATTTTTGCATTCTTAATTTTTTTAAGATAAATGGTCTAAAAAATGTATGAATGACAGATGTACAGAAAAGAGTTAAGGAATCTTAACTCGTTGCGAACTCTTCTTCTTTGACGAACTCGGCACGGTAATAGTGAATATTTATTAATTAGAATAAATTTTATCGAGACACTTGCCACTTACGGAGTTTCCAACGTTATCAAATATGGATTGACGTATCAATTTTTGTGCTCGCGCGGTGATAGCTGATAATCCAATCAGTTTTCTGATGCGATTGCGTATTATTTTGACCGTGTTTTTTGTACCGAAAACGAAATCGCAAGAAAGTCCGTGTTCACCAGCCGGAAAGAAACTTCGCTATATGCGCGTGTCGGGCTTGATAAAATGGTTCGACTACAACACAGCTCGTTTACTGACCAAAGGAAAAAGGACGCGGGAACATATATCGCGATGCTACACTTTCTCGTCGCTCGAAACGTCGACCTGATAAAATTACGCGCGCGCTTTCGCCGCGGAAATTTTTTTTACGGCGCGACAAAAGTTTCCGCGAGACCACACCGAGACCGCGAACATTTCCACAAATTACGCCGGGGTGGTCGTAAATGTATATGTAAATTGGTATCAGTGCAACCTGATAAAACACGCGCCGAGTTTATTCCATGAATCACGGAACGATCGTAACGTTGATAAAAATATAACACAGTACGGTTTTGTTGATAATTTTTATTCGAGATGTACCAAGATAGGCAATCGTGGAACGCGAGACATCTCGATAAATAGCAACATTGTAATATTCGCATTTATAATATTATGTATGTGATTGCAATTAAGTGACGTATTCTCATAAACTGATATATATCTTTAAAGTCCATCAATTCGCATCAATTGTAAACGTTAGAAAAATAATTTTTCTTAACGCGAGCGTGAAATAGACCGCTTTTCGCGCTTGTTTTGAGTGAGCAAAACGATCCATTTCGCCACTAGTTGAAAAATGGAGCCATTTCTCAACTAGTAAAGAAATGAAATTGTAAAACAAGCGCGAAAAACGGCCTGTTTTACGCTCTTGTTAGGAAAAATAGTATGAACAACTCGTGGGAAGAGTGGTCGAGCCCAAATGAGTGTGATGGTCGCACGAGCGAAGCGAGTGCGACCAACTTCACACTCATTCAGAATCGACCATTTTTCCCACTAGTTGTACAATATATACTATTTTCTTTTGAATTCGCAAAATGTGAAACGCGATAATGCCACTTACGTAATTAGCTGGCCGTTCCATCCCGTAGAAGGTACACGCTACCTTTATCATAAATGCGCCACGCACAATGTATTCAATCTCTTTATCGTTCGCGTCATTTGAATCGGTGACAATGTTAAGAACTGGGATTGGCGGAAGTGGAAGGGACAAATTGGCATAACTCGCTACCGGCTTGGTCTCGGCTGCTCGGTCGTGCCAGTTTGTCGACCCGCGAATGAGGCCGCCAGTGATGGGGTCTGTGGGTCACTCGAGGAGGCCCACCGATGGATGACGATGACGATGACGATGACGCGCCGTACCGCGCCGCGAATAAGAGGCTCCGAGAGTGTCACGAGAGTCATTACCTCGTGAACGAGTCCTCG